ACAACTATGAAAAGTCAACAGTGTAGATATTCAAGACAGAATGGGGTCCAACAGGAAGATGATGATCATGATGAGGCAGCACCGAAGTCTGCCTCAAACAAGTACCTTTAAAGAGTAAGGCAGTTCCTGAAGAGCCACCTGATTATTAAGAACAATGTCTAATCACAGTATGTCCTGCCAGTCATCAGATACTCCAAATGAACAACGGCCTGGCCAAAGAAGGGATAGAGTTGAATAAAATCAAGGCAAGAAATATCCATGTACAAAAGGGTCTCACCTCATGTCCAACACTCACAGACAGGATGCTAAGTACAAGGAGATATGTAACAGATTATTGAAGCATTTCCATGGACAAAATAGCAAAGATTCAATAATACATATGGAAATTGGCTACATCGATGAATTCCTGGGTGAATGTCTCAGGCATCAAAACCTTGTTATGGATAGGAGGGTCAGGAAGGACCCTACCGTGCTTCTTTTTTTGTTGGATCATACTTTAGTAACCATCCTGAGGTGTGGTTGGAGCCTGCAACTTTGCATGTGTTGGTCCTCTGGAGGGTCCTCTTCCTCCTCCTCACTGTCACTGAAGGGGCTATCATCAAGACATCTTATCAGTCTGGAGCTGGTGATGGTCCTTGTGTCCTCAAGTGGATGTAGAAGGTGTTTAGGCAATCTGGCAGAGAAGGTTCACTGGGGCTCTTAGCATTACTAGAATTTTTGTCTTTTAGGCACAAGATTAAAAAAACATGCTCACAAAAGCTTTTGTGTGCATTTGAAAGAACGTTTGTCTCTTCTTTAAATTTCATAATTAGCAGTTTGAGAACAGGTGCTTAACACAAAAGAAAAAGACTGGACACAAGACTGGATCTCAGGTTCAGTTATGAATTGCACTGCATGTACCATCGCCAATCGAGGAAGTGACTGATGTCCAGGAATCCTACCAGTTGCTAAAGAAAGGCTGTACTGAAGGACACTATTGAAACCTAAATTATTGAACAGGCCTTCAGCACGAGAGCAATATCAATCAATTTGCCAAAACAGACAGAACTCAAACTAGACTCAACCATCCCAGACAAGATCAAGATAGGGTCTACCATCCCAGAAAGGACCGAAGACGGGGTCTACCACACCAGACCCTATCATGTAAGGTCTATCAAGGGTCTATCAAAATAGGGTCTACCATCCAAGAAAGGACCCAAGACGGGGTCTACCACACCAGACAGGAATCCAAGCTAGGATCTACTATTCCAGGCAACAATAAAAAAAATGCAACCTATACAAAGTCAAACTAGAGATAATTCAATATAAAAAAGTTGGAATTAAGCTGGCAAAGTATGGCATGGAGTACCATAACCGTGTCTGAAATTGTGTAGGAACACTAAGCATTATTTTAGAGTATAAGTTAAAGCCAAAGTCAAAGAAAAAGACACTGCCAAAGGTGGTGGAGAATTACATGGCTAGGATCCAGAAAGACTTCCTGATCTAAACGAGCAAACAAATGCTGGCTAATCAATGAACACTGTCAACAAACATTAGATCAAGGCTTTAGAGATAGATGTAGCTATTCCAACTGACAACGCAATCAAGAGAAGAAAGGAAGCGATGAAGTATAGAACTTGTAAATATTAAAATCCTTGATAGTGTCAGTGGTCTTTATTGTACTCAGCGTTGTGACCCACAAACTGGAAGAGTTACAAGGCCAGTTCTTTGAAATGCAACAATATTCTTGCTACTAATATTTATGCCCCACACTGAAACTAACTAAATTTCATCAGAGAATAGGTCTTTTAAACTTGCTTACTGTTTCTGTGTCTACTGCAGCCAATTAAATGTGTAAAAGAGCCTCTGAGTAGTTAGAGTCATGTTTATTGATAAGCATTTGAGAAGCATGAAATGTCACACTGGGACTTTAGTCAACATGGTGGTCAGAGGTGAGGCCAGTCGCGAGTCTGGCAGTGATGTGAGCTCTGCAATGCCCTGGTTGCTGATGTGTCTGTCTCCTTAGCTGGTGTAAAGGTGATTATGATGATGATGATGATGATGATGATGATGATGTGGGTGGAGGATAGAAGGCATGCCCTGGCACCTGAGTGAACCAGGTGGATCAGCATTCATGTTGAAGCACGATGGCAAGCATGCATGCAGAGGTGCTTTGCTGGTTTCACTGTGCCACACCTCCGATGTGAGCAGGCATGGAAACTACCCGGGGTGCACACCAGCTCTTTTTTTCTCAACCTCGTGGTTGAGTATCACTTCCACCCATAATGGGATTTGTTTTCAGCACAAGGGTTCACCCTATCATGTTTTCGTGACTGAAATAACAATTAGCTGACGCTGACATAGTCAGCTGGGTCCACTGGTTCAAACCTTCTGTGACTGTGCAATTTTCCTTCATTTGATCATTTCCACTCCACAGTCTATCTACCAGTGAGCACTGAGGTAACATTCTTTCCTAAACAAAATAAGGTCAAGGTCAAGGTAACTATTAGTACCAACAGGTAAATTTGATTTGCCGTGTGACATGAGAATTAGTGCCCAGTTACACACACAGTCACAAAAAATACACACATCCATAAAAATATAAAAACAATACATGAATAAATAGAAATAAAATCAAGTAAAATAGCCACGCCAGACTCATTTCTCATTGAGAATTGTTACTGCCTCAGGAATAAAGCTCCTTTTATACCTCTTGGTCCTGCACTTAGGCACAATAAATCTCCGTCCTGATGGCAAATAACCAAGTTTGTCTGGACATCTCTCCCTATGTCTGTGTAACAATACTCAGAAGTGTTGCCACATTGGTTGTTTCTGGCTACCTGATTGCATCAAAATTTTGATTCTGGATTATTTAAACATGTGTCAGTTGGGTGTGAACAGCTCAAGTTGTTAGCTGTACACAGAACATTGTTTTTTACATATCCACCTGTTATAACTCTTTTTTTAATTTTACATTACCTTCCCAAATTAATCAGGGAGTGCCGATGCCTCGGTGCTGTTTTTGTGACACGTTTCACTACATTCTTACCTTACAGCTACAAATAAAAGCCCATACGAATTAGACCTAAAGACAGATTGTTTCATTGGGATAAATTACAGGAGTTTTCATAGTGACACATTTTTTGACTAAAATAAAATTAGTAAAAACCTGTAAAAATTCTCCTCATAGAAAACAATGAGATATTGCCTAGAAAGAAAACGACCTCCCCTGGAGCTCTATAGAAACATCATTCAGAGTTTTAAAGGGTCACAGGCAGCTCGATTTAAATGATGTGAAGGCACTGTGATTTTTGGTTTTGTGACAAAAAAAGATTTGACTGAACCAGGGTCAACATTTATGTCACAACTAGAAAAAAAACTAGAGAAATCGGTTTATTTTTCCTTTATGCTAGGGTAACCATACGTCCTCTTTCCCCCGGACATGTCCACTTTTCACTCTCTGTCCGGGGCATCTGGGGGGGTTTCCTATATTGATCAAAATGTCCAGTTTTTCATCCAGGAGCAGGGATCGAGTTATGGAGGCTAGAGATCTTTCAGGTAAAGATCTAGTTTCTACCTATATTACAATATTTATGGACTCTCAGCATAGCGGGATTCTGCTGAGCGGAGTGGACGCAGAGCGCTGACCGTTGGTGCGCCCGCTGTGTCCGGCGCACAATGCATTCTCAAGGTGGCGCAATAAAACATTATTATCAACACATGATCGATCATATCTGTTTATATCCTCTGGTATTCTGTCTTTAATCGTTCCTGACGCGTTCCGCTCATCATGTACTATGGTCATTTCACCTCACTGACGCAGCATCGAAACGTGCACTCCGCTTTGCGGTCAGGAGATCCTTTTGATCTGCTTAGTTCAAAAGTAACCGATGAGGTGAAAAAGTAAGAAGCCAAGCAGCAGTTTTGCAGGAAGATGAGAGACAGACAGGACAGGAAAATTGTTAAATAAAAACAAGAAAACAAAGCAAAGTGTTTGAAAGTAAAATGTAGGTAGATTTATCTCTACTATACGTTTATACCTGTATAAAACAATAAGTTATACACATGTAATACTTATACATCTGATACAATTCAGATCACCTTCAAAACTCAGTCACACACCCAGGGCCGTTTCAAGGCGTTTTCGGGGCCAAGGCATAACAACCTAAACACGTCAGACATTACTGACATGTTCTAATATTGTCAGATGTAAAACAAAATTGTCGGGCACGCCGTCTCATCTGCTTCTTTTCTAAACTCACACACATCTGTCAGTAACAAAACCATCTGAAAGCCACTTTTTGTGGATTCTCTGAAAGTTTCCATGGAGTCCATGACAAACATTTTTTTTCATTGACCCGATCGCCTAATCTCGCAGCTGAAACAAGCAACCTTAATAATCTGTGCAGAGGAAGCTTATCGATGCTGTAGTAAAACAAAAGGTATGATCATTTCTTATTAATAAAATGTTGATGCAGCACTAAAGCAGCCGAAAAATTAGATTTTGCAATAAATATGCTAAATATTTACATATGAATTGTTATAGAGCCTTTTTATTGGCAGAATCTGATGTTAATGTTAGCTTTTCGCCTGGGGAAATAAATGGGTCCCAACATGGTTTGTGTGGTTTTGCCATAGTGTGACGTAGGGCTGGTCAATAAATCGAAAATATATCGTTATCGAAATTTCTGACTCTTATCGAGATCATTTTTCCCATGTCAATGAATTTGATAATAAAAAAAATGAAAAGATGTGTGTAGGTTGGCGTGAAAATGTGACTCAAGGTAATACATGTGACAGCCCCATCTAGTGGACAACTTTTGTTTCTGTGCATACCTGTAGTTATCATCCAATTATCATTATGGAGGTGAAATCCTCAATATATCGTGATATTGACTTTAGGCCATATCGCCCAGCCCTAGTGTGACATCATCGGTAGGGACAGATCTGTCCTCTTGTTTTGGAAATGGAAATATGGTCACCCTGATTTATGCCCTATTTTACGATTTGTTTTTCTACAGAAATCAAAGCAGCGTTTGTCCAAGGAACTGTCAGACTGTGTTGTTTACTGTAAAAGCGTCCACTTCATAAGCTTCAAACACTCCCAGAGCCACTTCAAGTTCTACGAGGTTACCTCCTTCACGGAGTCCAAAGCCCGTAAGCACTTACGAGAAGCTGGTGAGTGCAGTTGTTTCTATTTTTGCTTAACAGAAAGTTAAATATTTTGCCAGTTAATTTTATCATATCATTCTCATTTCAGGAGCAGAGTTTGTGTGTCATAACTCCCGGCAGCTGACCAGGATTTATCCCACTGGCTTCCGAACAGACTCTTCCAATTTTAATCCTCAGGAAATGTGGAATGCTGGATGCCAAATTGGTGACTGTAACTTAATTAGTTACATGTTACTCTCTTTTATAGCTTGCCTTTTGCATTACCAAAACTTTGTGTTTTAATGTCACCGTTAGTCCTGAATTGAACTCAATTTCGGAGGATGACAGTTTTTTCTTTAAAGGGATATTCCACCCCTAAGGAAATGTAGTCAGTTGCCACATTGCCCAGAATTAGAAAAGTGGGGTTACATTTTTTTTTCAACCAGCCCAGTAATTCTCCCAATCTGGCAGTATGGTTGCTTTAGCAGGTGAAGGAGGAAGTACTTGTAACAAAGATGGGGCAACGCTGGTAATATGGACCTGGACCTGCAATTAACAGATAGACTTCCAACGTTTTTGGACCTCACCTGTGATATTTCTTAAACGATATTCCCTCAGTAGTTTCTGCTGTTTCACAATTCTTAAAAGTTCTGTTTATAAAACATAGTCAGCTTCAGCCAGCATATGACTGCAATGTTGTTGCGACCATTGCAATTCAAACAAGATAAACTAGATTTATATCCCATATATCAGAAAAAACACTTGTAAAACGCCCAATGGGTTTCTGAGCTAATAATATCCTTTTAGTGTTTTACCTGCAGAAATGAGCAGTGATAGACAAGAATGTTTTAAAAGTGCATGTGAAAGCAAGATGAGAATGTGCTCAAGGTTTTGAAAACAAATTCACTTGTAGGCAGTTTAATATCTTTTCCTTTTTTGTTTTGTTTTGTTTCTTTTTTTTTTACTACTTCTAGTTTCTGAATGGTCATTTAGTTAAAATCTACTCTATGTTGGTTGGATTTTCCCATGAAACTTCAATTCAGTTCTTGGTACATATTATAAAATTAGATTTACATGATTTCAAATAAAATGATCTATTTTGTACTTTCCTACTCAGTTGCTCTGAACTTCCAGACTGCTGGGGAAGGAATGGATTTGAACGATGGGTTGTTCAGCCAGAATGGCCAGTGTGGGTACGTCCTGAAACCCAGTTTCATGAGAGACAATGAGAAACGTTTTGACCCTGACATGCCACAAAAGCGAGATGACTACCAACCAGTTGTCCTCACCATCCAGGTAGAAATCAAAACAACAGGATTTTTTTTGATGAAGTCTCTTCAAGTAGTCGTCACTGGTGGCTTCATTTTTACTACATTTGATCTTGTTTCTTGAATCTTGAAGGTGATCAGCGGCCAGCAACTACCCAAAGTCAACATCAAAAAGGACTCGATTGTTGATCCACTGGTCAGAGTGGAGATCCATGGAGTTCCAATGGACCAAGCCAAGCAGGAGACCAGATATATAGAGAACAATGGTATGAGACAAGTCTTTGCACAAGCTCTGTACACTTTAAACAAAATTACGGACTTTACTGGATACATATGTAGTTATTAAAGTAACATGGGTAAAGTAGCATAGATTTACTGAAAATCTGACTACCGTAATTTCTGGACTATAGAGCGCACCTCAATATAAGCCGCACCAACAAAAAAAGGTTTTCTACACACACACACACACCACACTCAAATACAAGCCGCGGCGCAGCAGTCACATGCAGGTCTCCGGCGCACAGCGCATGTATGGCCATAACATAAGATAATTAGACAGAAAGACGCTACACAGAGGTGTTTTGTTGTTGTTTTAATTCAACAAAACAAATTTTAAACACGGTTGAACGTGCCTGCAAGTTTAGAAAAGAAAACAGCACTGATAGCATTCATATTTCTGGATGGTTATAAAATAAAAACAGAACTGACACGTTATTACCGGTAATTTGCATGTTTAGAAGAAAAGAACAGCGCTGACACAGCATTAATAAGCCCTGGATGATTAGAAAATAAAAACTGCACACAAAACATGCCTGGTTAGTAAATAAAACACACTTGCCTACCAGAAGAAGTCATTCGCTCTCATCTTCCTCTTGCGCACTAAAGCCATTAATGTCCTCTTCTTCAGTGTCGGAGTTGAACAGCCTCAGAAGAGCTTCGTCACATACCTTTTCTGTGGCGATGTCCGTGTTGCTGTCATCATCCCCGGGTGAAGCTGGCTTGAATGAGTTCTGCCGTCTCCAGCGCCGAACCATGGATTCATTCATGCCAAGCTTACTTGCGGCAGCACTGTTTCCCTCCTTTACTGCCAGATCGATGGCCTTCGACTTAAATGCGGCATCTTATGAACTCATACGTGTAGTTACCATGATGAGGGGGTATGGATTTGAAAAAAAATTCTTCGTCGTGCCGGCTGCTTGCATGTGCTAAATTAAAATGAGCACTTTCTTTGATTTCCACTTTTGACTTCCACCGGGTGGACGGCAAGATGGCGAACTAAGCGGCTGTCCTTAACTTAGCTCTGGTGCAAGGTACCTTTTATCCCTCCTTTTTTGGTGCTTTGTTCCCTCAAAAACCTTACGCGGACTTCACAAAGATGCCGAAAGAACAGAAGAAGGACAAAAAGGAAAGCAAGTCTTCCCAGAATGATAATATAAAAGACTTGGCTTCAGCTGCGGATGACCACGACTACTGCCTTTCAGACATGGAGCTTGAAAGTGGCGGCGGGGAAAAAAGAAATCTGGAGGAAATGAATGATTTGCTTCTCTCGACTCCGTCTAAAGGTGACCATCCGAGAAAGATTGCTAGACCCAGTCCCACAGCGAGCGACATCCTGGTAGCTATTCAAGCTCTCCACGTGCGATTTGATAAACAAGATGACAAAATGGCGGACATTAACAACAAGTTATCTGAGAATGCCTCGTTGATTGCCAGTCTTGCTGAGTCCATTGAGTTCAATGCAGCTGAAGTCCGTGATTGTAAACATAAAATTGCGGGCTTGGAGAAGGAAGCCTCAACCTTACGGAGAGAAGTTGATGACCTCAAAGAAAAGGCAAGAGAACGAGACCGGTACTCACGAAGATGGAATCTAAGGATTAAAGGAATGAAAGAACGCATGGATGAAGATATCAGAAAAGAGGTGATTAAAATTCTCGCCAAGATTGCCCCAGAATGGTCGGATAATTTGGAGTACATCGTCGACACTGTGCACCGGATTGGAAGGAAAGAAGAGGGCAGAAATCGCCAAGTCATAATTCAATTCACACAGCGCCTATATAGAGATGGAATATGGAAGAAGTCCAAAAAGGCTCAGATTTGTGAGAGTGAAAAAATCCGTTTTGCCGAGGATTTGACGAAGGAGGATCGTATGGACAGGGAGAAGGTTTGGCCGAAAATTCTACAAGCCAGAAATGCGGGAGAGAAGGCGTACTACAGGGGAGCTGTTGGTTATATCAACGGCCGTCGCGTTCTGGCAGATGACTGAAAGATGTTCACCTTTACTTGTTCTCCGAACTCTACTTAAGAGGGACGTTTGACAGTTATGAATGGGATGGGAGGTGCCAACGCCACTGTTCTTTCACCTTTCACTAAACAGGAAAGTAAACTACATTTTTCTTTTATCTTCAAGTTTGATATTCTCAATATTTTGAACTCTATTTTTGTTTATTTTAATGCTACGCACGTGTTTATCCTTTGTGTCATTGAATGTTAGAGGTCTCAGGGATAATGTTAAAAGAAAAGCAATGTTTATGTTTATCAAAGGGCTAAAAGCAAATTGTGCCTTACTGCAAGAAACTCATTCAAGTGACGCTGACGCCACCTTCTGGTCAAATCAGTGGGGTGAAAAAATCCTCTTCAGCCATGGATCAAACCACTCTGCTGGAGTTGCTCTCTGTTTCTACCGATGTCCAGGGAAGGTCGTGACTTTTCAGGCTGATATTTCAGGACACTGGCTGGCAGTTGTATTGAGTATTGATGGTTCATTTGTGATCCTAGTAAATGTTTATGGGTACTCCTCTGTAACTCTAAATAAGCTCATGCTGGAAAAAATAACAGATGTCCTCTCTGAGTATAAACTTTTATACCACACAGACCATGTGTTACTAGGCGGTGATTTTAATCTTGTTCCGAATGAATGGCAGGATAGACACCCTCCTAGATACAGTATTAATCAGTGGAATCCAACTCTAACAAAATTCATTGCTTCAAACAATTTAAGTGACATATGGAGAGAGAGAAACCCTGGAGTTACTCAGTTTTCTTGGATTAAACCAAACGGTAATAATATGTCCAGATTAGATCTGTGGTTGGGCTCGTCTGTACTATATAGATATGTTTCACATGTTTCCATCTCAGCAGCCCCGTTGACAGATCATAGTATTACTACTCTTAAACTTAACCCTGAAAATAAAACACAGTTTAAAAAGGATTACTGGAAATTTAATGCAGATCTGTTAATTGATGATGGGTATGTTAAAATGGTTAAAGAACTCCTGCATAAAATCTACAATGATGGAACAATTGGTACTTACACACACAGATGGGAATTTTTTAAATTTAAAGTTAGAGAATTTTCAATTACGTTTAGTAAAATGAAAAGTAGACAACAAAAGGAGTTTGAAAGTCAACTACTTTACAATTTAAATAACTATTGTAATAGACAGTTTATGTCAGAGGCTGATAAGAAATCCTTTTTGTCTTTACAAGCTCAATTAGATGATTTATACAAGAAAAAGGCTCATGGAGCATACATTAGAGCTCGTGCAAAATGGATAGAAGAAGGTGAAAAAAGTACTTCATATTTCTACAATCTGGAGAAACGGAGGCAAGAGAAGAAATGTATTAATACATTACTTATAAATGGGGAAGAATGCACAAATCACAAGACTATAGCAGAAGAAATACATAAGTTTTATTCAAATTTATACTCATCTAAATACTTAATTACTGATTCAATTACATTTTTTGATCAGATTGAACCTTATATTCCAAAAATCGATTCTGTATTCAGAGAAATTTGTGATTCTGACATATCACTAGATGATTTAGATCAAGCCTTAAACAAACTGAAAATGGACAAAGCTCCTGGTCAGGATGGCTTGACTGCCATCTTTTATAAATTCTTCTGGAAAGAAATGAAAGAATTTTTCTTCAAAACTATTAGAGAAATCATTAGTAATGAAACATTAGCAACGACAATGAAACAGGGTCTTATTTCCCTTATCCCCAAACCTGGTAAAGATAAAAGATTAATCGATAATCTACGACCAATTACTCTATTGAATACAGATTATAAAATTCTGGCTCATGTTATTGCAAACAGATTAAAGGACGGCTTAGATCAGATTATTAGTGAAACACAATCTGGGTTCCTTAAGAATCGTTCTATCCATAATAATATTAGACTAGTTTTAGATCTACTGGATTATAATCACTTAATTGAAGATGATGGAGTGATTCTTTTTTTAGACTTTTATAAAGCATTTGATACGGTCGAACATCCTTTTATTTTGAAAGCTTTACAGTATTTTGGTTTTGGTAAAAAATTCATAGATTTAATTTCTTTGTTATACTCCGATATCAATAGTTCTATTTCTCTAACTTTTGGAACGTCTAAACGATTTAACGTCAGTCGAGGAATCCGCCAGGGGTGTCCAGCTTCTCCGTTACTTTTCATTATTGTAACAGAACTTTTAGCTATTTTCATGAAACACAATCCAAATATTCAACCACTGAACTTGATGGGAGCCCCATTAATCATAAGTCAATTAGCAGATGATACGACACTATTTTTAAAGAACATGACACAGGTTCCTCTTGCACTAAATGAAATTTCACTATTTTCAAAGGCCTCTGGTTTGTACCTGAATATCAGAAAATGTGAATTATTAAATATTCATGACTGTGAACCCAGTATCTCTCTTAACATAGCTATTAAAACTGAAATTAAATATTTGGGCATTATAATATCAAAGAATACAAACAATAGAGAAAATCTAAATTTTGAGCATATTACCCAGAAATCTGAAAAGATCCTATTCAGCTGGTTACAAAGAGACCTCTCCATCTTTGGACGCGTCTTACTTACCAAAACAGAAGGTATTTCTCGACTGATTTATCCATCACAGTGCTTATATGTTTCCAATAGACTAATCTCTAATATAAATCAAATTAACTTTAATTACATTTGGAGAAACAAACAACATTATATTAGGAAGAATGATGTAGTGAAATCGTTTGAAGAAGGAGGTTTGAATGCGATTGATTTTGAAGCAATGGATGGTTCCATCAAACTCAAATGGTTGCAGTCTTTCATAAATAACTCAAACAGTATTTGGTTTTATTTCCCTAAAATAATTTTCGAGAAGATTGGTGGCATTGAATTTCTCTTAAAATGTGATTTTGAAATTTCCAAAATACCTATTAAATTATCTAATTTTCATAAACAGGTTCTTCAGTACTGGAAAATGATTTACAAGCATAATTTTTCTCCACATACAAATTCAATTTGGAACAACAGATGTATATTGATAAACCGAAAATCCATTTTTTATAAGGATTGGATGGATCATGGAATTTGGACAGTTTTACACTTGTTAGACAATGATGGCAATGTATTATCGTACAATAAATTCATAGATAATTATGGCGTATCATGTACTCAAAGTAAATTCATTAAAGTTGTGAAAGCCATTCCCCCTGCAATGATTCAGATGGCTAAAGCCAGTTTAACCTATTCTTCCTCTATAATTCGTGAACCATCCTTAGTTATTGATGATTGTCAATTTAATGGAAAGTCATGCAATAATAAATTCTTAAGGACGATTCTAACCAAACAACTTTTTCCTTCTCAATTAAAAAGAAAATATTTGTTTAAAGATTATAATTTTAGGTTCTTGACTAAATATCTCTCTTTTCCAATTCCACCAAAAGCAAAAGAAAATCACTTTAAAATTTTAAATGCCATTTACCCGTCCAAGGACTATCTTCATAAGAAATTCAATATAGATACGAACACATGCACTTTTTGCAAAACTGATATTGAGACTACAGAGCACCTTTTTTATTCATGTGACAGTTCCAGATCTTTTTGGAATGATTTTCAGTACTGGTTAACCTCTAAAAGTATTGATTGCCCTTCTCTAACCTTTCAAGTAATAAGATTTGGCCTACAAACAGAAAATAAGAAATTAGAATTTGGGATTAACAACTTATGTATAGTTGCAAAATTTTTTATTCATAAATGTCGCTTCTTAAAAATTACTCCGAATTTTGCTGGTTTTAAAAATGAAGTCCTTCTGTTGAAGGCTTCATTAGATAAGTGTAAATTAAAGAAGGCTAAGATCTTACTTGATTTTTTGATGTTGCTTTTCAACTGATGTAGCTAGAATGTATGTGCGTACTTATGTTTTTGTTTAGTTTTCTTTGTTTTCTTTACTTCATATGGAAGGTCATTTAATGCACGGGTATGATGTTTTGTTATCTCTGACCTATAATGTTTTTTTCTTTTGTTGCTGTTGTTCTTTGTTTGGATGGCTGCTTTGTTCTTAACCAACTGTACTTAGTCATACCTTGTTGAGTTGTAAGATATGCGCTGTATTTGTGAATCTGTACAATAAAAAAAAAAAAAAAAAAAAAAAATAATAAACTTTTGACTTCCACCTGTTTCACTTTCTGCTATAGCGCCCCCTGGCAGGTGAAGGAAAATCTTCAGTAAAGCCGCACCTCAGTATAAGCCGCATAGTTCAAAGCGTGGGGAAAAAGTAGCCGCTTATAGTCCGGAAAACACGGTAGTTGCATCAAAGAAATATTTTATTCATTTTATAGAATGTTTCTTAAGAAATGTAGGCATGTCCCTGTGGCCCATTTCAGGAAAAGAGGGAATGTCAGGCAACTCCAGATCCAATGTTGAAAATTAGATCAGGAGCCAGATCAAATCCATTTTCATGATCTATCAGATTGTACAATGTATGCAGCATTGTCAGATAAAAGCAGAGAGAATCATTAAAGATTTTGAAATGAAACAAAATGCAGAATGTCAGCTTTAATTTGGGGGGTTTTACATCCAAAACACTGTGAGTGGTGTATAAATTACAGCAGTTTGCATATGTGCCCCCAACTTGTTAAGGGACCAATAATAATCATAACACAAACCTTCAATTTTTAGTACTTAGTTGCAAATCCTTTTCAGTGAGCTACAGTCTAAAGTCTGGAGCACATAGACACACCAGACTCTGGGTTTCATCTCTGGTGATGCTCTGCCATGCCTCTACTGCAACTGTCTTCAGGCCCTGCTTGTTCTTGGGGCATTTTCCTTTCATTTTTGTCTCCAGCAAGTGAAATGCATGCTCAATTGGATTCAGGTCAGGTGATTGACTTGGCCATTACATAACATTCCACTTCTTTGCATTAATAAAAAAAACTCTTTGGTTGCTTTTGCAGTATGCTTTGGGTCATTGTCCATCTGCACAGTAAAGTGCTGTTCGATGAGTTCTAAAGAATTTGGCTGAATATGAGCAGATAATGTTGCCCAAAACACTTCAGAATTCATCCTGCTGTTTTAGTCAGCAGTTACATCCCAAACAAATACAAGACTTTGGCAGTCATACATGCCCACGCCATGATACTACCACCATGTTTGGTGAAATGCTAACAAACATAAGAAGTTCCTTTTCTTCTCCATACTTTTCTCTTCCCATCACTCTGGTACGAGTTGATCTTGGTCTCATCTGTCCATAGGATAATGTTCCAGAACTGTGAAGGCTTGTTTAGACGACGTTTGGCAAACTCTAACATGGACTTCCTGTTTTTGAGGCTCATTAATGGTTTACATCGTGCGGTGAACCTTCTGTATGCACTTTGGTGAAGTCTCTTGATTGTTGACTTTGACACACATACACCTATACCTCCTGGAGAATGTTCTTGATCTGGCCAGCTGTTGTGAAGGGTGTTTTCTTCACCATTTCTTCGGTCATCCACCATAGTTGTTTTTCAGTTGTCTTTTGGTGTTACTGAGCTCACCAGTGCATTCCTTCTCTTGAAGAATGTTCCAAACTGTTGTTTTGGCCACGCCTAATGTTTTTGCTTTCTCTCTGGTTCATTGATAGTGACAGCGCTTTGGATCTCTTCTTGAGAGTTGATAGCAACAGATTCCAAATGCAAATAGCACACCTGAAAAGAACTCTGAACCTTTTATCTGCACATTGTAATTGGGATAATGGGGGAATATCACACACTTGGCCATGGAACAGCTGAGTAGCCAACTGTCCCATTACTTAACAAGTGGAAGACACATATGCAAACTGCTGTAATATCTGTACCATTCACCTGATTTGGATGTAAATACTCTCAAATTTAAGTTGACAGTCTGCAGATATACATTGTGTTTGTTTCATTTCAAATCAATTGTAGTGTTTAGAGCCATACATGTTTGAATTGTGTTGATGTCCCAATATCTATGGACCTGACTAATTCACCTTTTAAGTTGAATTGCTGAAATAAATGAACTTTTGCACCTGTTTTCAGCATAAGTGTTTTTACGTTAACTCAGAACAGACAAACAATGTTCCGATCTAGATGTAAAATGTCAGATGATGCTTTTTATTTATTTATTTATTTATTGCTTTTTTGTGAACCTGGAGTCACTATTTTGGTATTTTTTACAGGATTCAACCCAGTGTGGTACGACACTCTCCACTTCACGATCCATGCCCCTGAACTTGCTATTGTACGCTTTGTTGTAGAAGATTATGACAAAACATCAAAAAATGACTTTGTGGGGCAATATACCCTTCCTCTTAGCTGCATGCAGCAAGGTATGGTCTTTTTTCTACCGGGGAACAGCTGTACTGTTAGATTAGCAGCATTTTTAAAGGATATGTAAAATGTGTGTTGGGATTTTATCAATATTTCTATTTTATATGATTCACTTTCATTGCAGAGATTTTAGGAAAACAAAAAACTTGCAGCTACAATGGCAAATCTGCAAAACAAACAAGCTTAAAGTGATAGTGTGTAGTTTCCCTGGCAATAGGGGGCAGTACATACCTAAATCATTGCAATCAAGCATTATTTTTTGTGTTCAAATAAGATCTTACCAACGGATGGCCATTAGGGTCAAAAATCCCTGGGAGTGCAACCTCCAGAAAAATAACAAGAACATCAGATTCCCTTTCATCCCTGGCAATGAGTGAAGAGGTAAATATGTAAAGCAACAATATTTATTAATAGTGACATTTTTGTAACCATTTGTTACAAATCAGTAAATGCATTTGTCCTCACAGACTTCCGTAGAAGGAAACATGACATCCAATATGGTGTCACCCAGAGACTTAGAACTGGTCCATGTGTTTTAGACCAGATTTGTATGGTTATATGTTCTGAAACTGCCAATATTTTTCAACAACTGGGCATCTTTTAATTCATTTACTACAACATTTCATTAGATATTTCCAGAGATTAATGGTAAAAAATTACAAATTGTCACTTGAAAGCATTTCTTAATGCCTTTTAAAAATGTTCTAACATAGTATAGAAATAAATGTGTTGTGGAGATTTAAAAATAATTAATGAAGTGGCTCTCTCGAATTTGCCCACCACACATCCTCATTTACCTGTGTCCTCCATTCATTACTCGCTCGCGTATTTAGCAACAGAACACTGGTGTGAGAGGTTCTCCACTCACTAATATCAAAGGAGAAACAGCCGACTGCTACCAATTCAACTTTAGGACAAACTACAAGAGTCCCAAAAATAAAAACACCATTTGAAGTCACTGACAACAAAAGACATTTGGAATGAGAAAGTGGCAACTGGTGTTTAGCTCTGTCGCATTTCCTCTGGCGTTGGGTGTTCTGGGAACAGGCGCACATGGCTTAGGGATGAAAACAAAAGTTCTGTTAGATGGTGAGAGTTCTGTGACTGTGTTATGTTTACTGTTAGCTTGTTTAGCAGATTTGCTATTGCTGCTTTAAAAAAAACTTTACTGCATCCAATTAAATGTCTTCAAAATACCAAATTTAGTATTTCAGCCCACTTTTTTTTCAGGCAGGTTTTTTGTAGTGATTTTGTTATTGTTAGTCTGGCAAATATGTTTACCGAGCTGTGTAGAATAGGCCCTTGTTCATTTTGGTTTTTTGTTGTTGTTAATAATAATAATAATAATAATAATAATAATAATAATAAACATGGTTGTGTGTTTGCAGGATATCGCCACATTCACCTTTTGTCCAGAGATGGAACCAGCATTTCTCCATCATCCTTGTTCGTTCATGTCAGGATCAAAGATCTGGAATAAGTTTCCACACACCCACCAGATAGAAAGAATATTACACTTTCATGTACAAGACAGAGGAATTCTACCTTCCTTGATAATTACTACATCAGTGAATTGATGCTATGCCAAAATTAGAGCAATTCTAGAAAAGTTGTGCTTTGACTTGTTTCCTTCTCTTCTGTGTATTTTGTGTTATTTATTCATTGTGACTTCAGTGTACCCAATCAATTCTGGCATGCGATGCAATTTCTGCTGAAGCATTGTGTTGTAGATGAGAATGTGCCACTAAAGAGTTATGTAAAGATTCTGTGGAATTTCTTTTTTTTTTTCCTTTTGTTTTATTTGTTTTTAACAGCCAGCACCTGACTAGGTCTGTCTTTATTCACAATGGACATTTTCTTGGATTGGGAGCTCTGATTCTGATGAACTGTCAGTAATAAGGATTACTATTTCATTTCCAAAATTTACCAGATTGTTTTATCTAAGACCCAAATGGACAGTATATTTCTTGTGATTATGTGTACTTCAGGAACATGTTTTATTGAAAATACTGCAATGGATTTTTCATCCACAGTTGAAGCAAAACACTTCCACAGCAGTTTGAGTATATCTATCTATCTATCTATCTATCTATCTATCTATCTATCTATCTATCTATCTATCTATCTATCTATCTATCTATCTATCTATCTATCTATCTATCTATCTATCTATCTATCTATCTATCTATCTATCTATCTATCTATCTATCTATCTATCTATCTATCTATCTATCTATCTATCTATCTATATCTATCTATCTATCTATCTATCTATCTATCTATCTATCTATCTATCTATCTATCTATCTATCTATCTATCATCTATCATCTATCTATCTATCTATCTATCTATCATCTATCTATCTATCTATCTATCATCTATCATCTATCTATCTATCTATCTATCTATCTATCTATCTATCTATCTATCTATCTATCTATCATCTATCATCTATCTATCTATCTATCTATCTATCTATCTATCTATCTATCTATCTATCTATCTATCTATCTATCTATCTATCTATCATCTATCTATCTATCTATCTATCTATCTATCTATCATCTATCTATCTATCTATCTATCTATTTATCTATCTATCTATCTATCTATCTATCTATCTATTTATCTATCTATCTATCTATCTATCTATCTATCTATCTATCTATCTATCTATCTATCTATCTATCTATCTATCTATCTATCTATCTATCTATCATCTATCATCTATCATATATCTATCTATCATCTATCTATCTATCTATCTATCTATCTATCTATCTATCTATCTATCTATCTATCTATCTATCTATCTATCTATCTATCTATCTATCTATCTAATTGTTTTTTTAATCATTTAAATTTCAGTCTGAACATAACTTATTGCTTTCAAAAGGAATTGTGCAATAGTTCAATATGTTTCTATTGTTGTATGAAGAATGCTTCACTTAAAGTGATCATGGCTGTTTTGGCATCAGCCACACTTTCCATGAGCTGTGGAGGTAGTCCTCAATTCTGTTTATGTTATCCAGCTTGGCCTGTTTGATGACCTATTGCATTTGAACTGAAAAAACTAAATTTTATACAAATTTTTACAATAAAATTTATACTGTCTACATATATCATAGTCATCAAAGGTGTTCTCTTGTTTTCCATGAGTGTCTGGTGACAGATGTGGCAACTGAGAAAACCCCTCTATGTGTACTTGTGATTTGATTACAAACCTGTTTGTATAAATGTGTTTTGATACATTTCTTTTGTATACAGACATGCATATTATAGCTCAATGAAGATAATTAACTTTGTTATTTATTGGATAAAACCCACTGCATTATCACTTTCAGTTGAAAATAAAAGACTTCCACAAAGTAAAAATAATCATTTTGATGATTTGGTCTTCTTCTGGTGGATATTTGAGGAAAGAATATTGAAAGAAACAAAATCTTGCAGATGTTTGTTACTGCCTCCATGCAATGGGTAAATTGCTCTATGGTGTGGTTTTTGTCAATCTTTTTTTTTTTTTTTTTTTTACAATTGTGGAGGCCATTGTGAAATTGGTTTGCTTCAATTAGAGTGGAACTTCCTGTACAAATATGTTGTTGTCGTTGTCCGCTTATCCGGGTCCGGGTCGCGGGGGCAGCATCCCAACTAGGGAGCTCCAGACCGTCCTCTCCCCGGCCACCTCCACCAGCTCCTCCGGCAGGACCCCAAGGCGTTCCTGGACCAGATTGGAGATGTAAACTCTCCAACGTGTCCTGGGTCGATCCGGGGGCCTCCTGCCGGCAGGACATGCCCGAAACACCTCCCCAGGGAGGCATCCAGGAAGCATCCTGATCAGATGCCCAAACCACCTCAACTGACTCCTTTCGATCCGGAGGAGCAGCAGTTCTACTCTGAGTCCCTCCCGAATGTCCGAGCTCCTCACCCTATCTCTAAGGCTGAGCCAGCCACTCTACGGAGGAAATTCATTTTGGCCGCTTGTATCCGCGATCTCGTTCTTTCGGTCATTACCCAAAGCTCATGACCATAGGTGAGGATTGGGATGTACTGTAGATCGACCGGTAAATCGAGAGCCTGGCTTTCTGGCTCAGCTCCCTCTTCACCACGACAGATCGGCTCAGCGTCCGCATCACTGCAGACGCCGAACCAATCCGCCTGTCGATCTCCCGATCCCTCATACCCTCACTCATGAACAAGACCACGAGATACTTAAACTCCTCCACTTGAGGTAGGACCTCTCTCCCGACCCGGAGTTGGCAAGCCACCCTTTTCTGGTCGAGAACCATGGTCTCAGATTTGGAGGTGCTGATCCTCATCCCAGCCACTTCACACTCAGCCGCGAACCTACTCAGCAAGAGCTGAAGGTCAGAGCTGGATGAAGCTAGGAGGACCACATCATCCGCAAAAAGCAGAGACGAGATTCTCCTGCCACCAAACTCGACACACTCCACACCACGGCTGCGCCTAGAAATTCTGTCCATAAAGGTAATGAACAGAACCGGTGACAAAGGGCAGCCCTGGCGGAGTCCAACCCTCACCCGGAACAGGTCCGACTTATGGGCTCGACACACGGGAGGCGACATCGCCTCTCCATTCATTTTCAATGAGACAAGCGCGATAAAGCGATAATCGCGGGTCTCCCTCCTACTAAGCAAAATGCGAAAAACGTGCGTGTGAAATTTTGCGCTCGTGCACGTGTCGTGCACAGGCGACCCAGCGACGCGATCCCAGAAAGTTGAAATATTTTCAACTTTTCATCGCTGTCGCTCGGACGAGGACCAATCAACGGAGGTTTCATTCACTGACCAATGAGCGGACTGGATGCTCCGTACATCTCTGAGCAATTATGAAGGAGAAGTTGATTATTATTATGTTTTATATAGTAAAATCAGAAGTAAGATTTCACATAACTCTAACAGCACCTTGTGAAACATCATATCTACCGCTTTTTTTAAACTCTGAACCGCTTAAATAACCTTAATTCTCTCCTACCTGACACAGCCGAACAAAACAGCGGAAGTTTTGATTTCGCCATTGAACAGAACGCGTCGACGGCTCGCTGGCCACTGCCGCGGGTCACCTCCCGTGTGTCAGGTAATAAAAGCGACAGCGACGAATGTTGCTGATCGCAGTCGTTTGTCGCCTCCCGTGTGTCGAGCCCCTTACTACCGGCAATGCGGACCAAACTCACGCTCCTCTGGTAAAGGGACTGAATGGCCCTTAACAGAAAGCCACCCACCCCATACTCCTGGAGCGTCCCCCACAGGGTGCCCCTGGGGACACGGTCATAAGCCTTCTCCAAATCCACAAAACACATGTGGATTGGTTGGGCAAACTCCCATGCCCCCTCCATCACCCTTGCAAGGGTATAGAGCTGGTCCACAGTTCCACGGCCAGAACGAAAACCACATTGCTCCTCCTCAATCTGAGATTCAACTATCGATCAGACCCTCCTCTCCAGTACCTTGGAGTGGACCTTTCCAGGGAGGCTGAGGAGTGTGATCCCCCTATAGTTGGAACACACCCTCAGGTCACCTCACTATGCGTTTGGGTCTGCCAGGTTTACGCGGCATCTTCCCCTGCCATCTGATCCAACTCACCACCAGGTGGTGATCAGTTGACAGCTCCGCTCCTCTCTTCACTCGGGTGTCCAAAACATACGGCCGCAGGTCAGCTGATGCAACTACAAAGTCTATCATCGACCTGCGACCTGGGCTGCCCTGGTACCAAGTGTACCGATGGGTATCCTTATGTTCGAACATGGTGTTCGTTATGGCCAAACTGCGGCTTGCACAGAAGTCCAATAACGAAACACCACTCGAGTTCAGATCAGGCGGGCCGTTCCTCCAAATCACACCCCTCCAGGTCATGCTGTCATTGCCCATGTGAGCATTGAAGTCCCCCAGCAGGACAATGGAGTCCCCTGATGGAGCACTATCTAGCACTCGTCCCAGGGACTCCAAAAAGGGTGGGTACTCTGAACTGATATTTGGCCCATAAGCACAAACAACAGTCAGGACCCATTCCCCGACCCGAAGGCGCAGGGAAGCTACCCTCTCGTCCCCGGGGTAAACCCCAACACACAGGCAGACAGTCTTGGGGCTAACACAAAGCCAACCCCAGCCCTCCGCCTCTCACCCGGAGCAACTCCAGCAAAGGAGAATGTCCAACCCCCTCAAGGACTTGGGTTCCAGAGCCAATGCTATGTGTCGAGGTGAGTCCGACTATATCTAGCCGGTACCGCTCAACCTCTGCCGCAAGCTCCTGCTCCTTCCCCGCCAGCGAGGTGACGTTCCATGTCCCAAAAACCAGTTTCCTTGTCCGGGTATCAGACCACCAAGGCTCCCACCTTGGTCTGCCACCCGATCCACACTGCATGTTCCTCCTGCGGGTGGTGGGTCCACAGTTGGATGAGCCCATGTATCTGATTCGGGCTGGGCCCTGCCGGGCCCCATGGGCGAAAGCCCGACCACCAGGCGCTCGCTCACGGGCCCCAGGCCTGGCTCCAGGGTGGGACTCCGGTAACCCTCCAGGCCGGGTACTCAGACTCCTTGATAGTTCATCCATGAAAGATCTTCTGAACCGTTCTTTGTCTCACCCTTCACCTAAGACCAAAGTGCCCCAGACAACATAGCTCCTAGGATCATTAGGGCACTCAAACTCCTCCACCACAATAAGGTGACGGTTCAAGGAGGAGACAAATATGTTGTCTTAGTTTAAATCAGCTCATCACCTTTTGTAAATTGGTCTAAACAAGATAACAGTGGAAAAGCACACAGAACTCTGGTCCTGTACAATCCTGTTGTGTCCATGCCAACTGCACAAAGGTGAACAGCTTTTCTGCTAACACACACTACCGAATCTGATTTACCATAACTTTCACATTTTGAATGATCAAATGTACCGTGCAAAATATTTCAAATTACTGTCAGGGATCCCTTGATGTCCAATACAAAGGCATTGTAGCTTAGTGGTCGAAGTGCCTGTCTTGTATACAGGAGATCCTTGGTTCAAATCTCAATATACAGGTGCTGGCCAGTAAATTAGAATATCATCAAAAGGTTGAAAATATTTCAGTAATTCCATTCAAAACGTGAAACTTGTACATTATATTCATGCAATGCACACAGACCAATGTATTTCCAATGTTCATTACATTTAAATTTGATATTTATAGGTGACAACCAATGAAAACATCAAATCTGGTATCTCAGAAAATTAGAATATTCTAAAGGCCAATGAAAAAATGTTTGTTTCTCTAATGTTGGCCAACTGAAAAGAATGAACATGAAAAGAATGTGCATGTATAGCACTCAATACTTAGTCGGGGCTTCTTTTGCCTCAATAACTGCAGTAATGCGGCGTGGCATGGACTCGATCAGTCTGTGGCACTGCTCAGGTGTTATGAGAGCCCAGGTTGCTCTGATAGTCGTCTTCAGCTCCTCTGCATTGTTGGGTCTAGCGTATTGCATCCTCCGCTTCACAATACCCCATAGATTTTCTATGGGGTTAAGGTCAGGCGAGTTTGCTGGCCAATCAAGGACAGGGATACCATGGTCCTTGAACCAGGTGCTGGTGGTTTTGGCACTGTGTGCAGGTGCCAAGTCCTGTTGAAAGGTGAAGTCTGCATCCCCATAAAGTTGGTCAGCAGCAGGAAGCATGAAGTGCTCTAAAACTTCCTGGTAGACGGCTGCATTGACCCTGGACCTCAGGAAACAGAGTGGGCCAACACCGGCAGATGACATGGCACCCCACACCATCACTGACGGTGGAAACTTTACACTGGACCTCATGCAACGTGGATTCTGTGCTTCTCCGCTCTTCCTCCAGACTCTGGGTCCTTGATTTCCAAAGGAAATGCAGAACTTGCTTTCATCAGAAAACATAACTTTGGACCACTCAGCATCAGTCCAGTCCTTTTTGTCCTTGGCCCAGGCGAGACGCTTCTTGCGCTGTTTCTTGTTCAAGAGTGGCTTGACACACGGAATGCGACACCTGAATCCCATGTCTTTCACGAGTCTCCTCGTGGTGGTTCTTGAAGCGCTGACTCCAGCTGCAGTCCACTCTTTGTGGATCTCCCCCACATTTTTGAATGGGTTTGTCGTCACAATTCTCTGCAGGGTGCGGTTATCCCTAGAGCTTGTACACTTTTTTCTACCACATTTTTTCCGTCCCTTCGCCTGTCTGTTAATGTGCTTGGACACAGAGCTCTGCGAACAGCCAGCTTCTTTAGCAATCACCTTTTGTGTCTTGCCCTCCTTGTGCAAGGTGTCAATGATTGTCTTTTGGACAGCTGTTAAGTCAGAAGTCTTCCCCATGATTGTGGTGCCTTCAAAACAAGACTGAGGGACCTTTTAAAGGCCTTTGCAGGTGTTTTGAGTAAATCAGCTGATTAGAGTGGCAGCAGGTGTCTTCTATATTCAGCCTTTTCAGAATATTCTAATTTTTTGAGATACCAAATTTGGAGTTTTCATTAGTTGTCACTTATGAATATCTAATTTAAATGTAATGAACATTGGAAATACATTGGTCTGTGTGCATTGCATGAATATAATGTACAAGTTTCACGTTTTGAATGGAATTACTGAAATATTTTCAACCTTTTGATGATATTCTAATTTACTGGCCAGCACCTGTAATGGCAAATTGGACCCTGTGTCCACATTGGATCATTTCACTGAAACACTTTATTCTCTTCAAATTAGACCTTGTTTTTTTATTACTTAGAAACAATTGATATCGAATTTAGGTACAAATATCTCCTTTCAGTTTTTTCTAGAAAACCTGTTAAGATTTTGATTTAATTTTATTTTACATCACAGTAAATACAAATTCAGGCCTCAGGAGGTTAAGACTAATATAATTTTCTGCAAGGTAATGTAATAATGATAACTGGCTATATCTGGCCATCTACTGTATAAGGTAATAATGGCCAAAGCACCTGTAAACAGGAGTTCCTGCGTTCAAATCCCTGCAGTTCATTTAGATTCACTAGGATAAATACAATAAAGTTTATCTCTCACTAAATAGAATATTTACTAAGAAATCACAATGTAACCAAAGAGATACTACTTGGTAAAAATGGTGGGGGTGGGGGTGGGTGGGGTGTGTGTGTGTGTGTGTGTGTGTGTGTGTGTGTGTGTGTGTGTGTGTGTGTGTGCGTGCGTGCGTGCGTGCGTGCGTGCGTGCGTGCGTGCTTATACTGAGCCAGGATCCTCCGGAGGTTTATTCCTGTTGAAAGGGAGTTTTCCTCTCCACTGTCGCTAAATGCTTGCTTAGTATGAGGATTGCTGTAAAGTCACTGACACTAGACACTAGTCAGTGACTTGATGCAACCTGCTGGGTTCCTTATATAGGAACATTTTTTTCTGATTGGCTTAATGAACTGACCTGTATTGGAATTTTTACTATGTGAAGTGCCTTGAGACGACTCTTGTCGTGATTTGGCGCCATATAAATAAACTTGAAATGAACTGAATTGTTTTTAAATCACGCCTGAAGGCTCATTTCTATTCTTTGGCTTTTAATTCGGCCTAGTCGACCTCTTACTATATTTTTGTTCACTTGATTCATTGTTGATTTCATAGTCGTTACTGTGCTACTTTTATTACTTCTGACTTGTGCGTTTTGATTTTATATGTTCCACCATTATTCCAGTGTACAGCATTTTGGTCGGCCTTGGCCATGTATAAATGTGCTTTATAAATAAAATGAATGAATGAATGAAAATCGTCTTGTCCTTCTTCAGACTCCTTTGTGCCAGTGTAGCCTGGTTTAATCTTCACTTATCCATTGTCTCGTGATGAAAAAAAAACATTCACACCATCAATGAGCTGAATTTATTGTGAATAATTAAGATGTGCTGCCTTATAGCATCATTCATTATGAACATATCTACTTTTACTGCTTTGAAATGAAAAAGGCACAACCTGCAATCATACATAGGATCAAACACCACATATAATTTTAATGTTATTCACTAGAAAAAGACTCATTTCAAAGTAAATGCAACATGAAGCTAACAGATGTCCAGGGAATTGCAGAGAAGAGATGAAACAGCATGAAGTCTGAGGTGAGGAGGCTCAGTTGCAGAGGTCAGTGCTGCAGCAGCTTGCGAGCGCTCCAGGTGTTGTGATGAATCCCTGGCACACAGCCATGTTCATGCACTGACGAAAAGAGCGGTCTAGGATTATAATGAAAAAAGGAAACAGCAAAAATGAACATGTTCCATACGCACACTTGCTCAGACAGCATTTTATTCAAAAGTCAGAAGTTCATCAACATTTTAACAGGTGGTTCTCGTTATCTTTGGTCAATGTTTAACAAAAAAACCCAAATATAAACTTTTTTTTTAAGTTTGGAAAGATTATTTCAATCAATCATGTAATTCAACCTTCGTACACATAAAACAAAAATAAAAACCGTCATAAAATAAAAACACCTAAGATCAAAACAGAAAGATAAAACAGCCAATAAAAACAAAGCTAAATGAATGAATTGTGTCTTTAGGCTGGATGTAAAGGGCTGCGCAGTGGTTAGAGCTGTTGGCTTGCAGCGAGATGGTCCTGGGTTCGATTCCCGGCCTGGGATCTTTCTGCATGGAGTTTGCATGTTCTCCCTGTGCATGCGTGGGTTCTCTCCGGGTACTCCGGCTTCCTCCCACAGTCCAAAAACATGACTGTTAAGTCGATTGGTCTGTCTAAATTGTCCTTAGGTGTGTGTGTGTGTGATAGTTTGTCCTGTGTGTCTCTGTGTTGCCCTGCGATGGACTGGCTCTCTGTCCAGGGTGTACCCCGCCTACTTGCCCGTTGACTGCTGGAGATAGGCACCAGCCCCCCCGCGACCCTGCGTGGACAAAGCGGGTTCAGAAGATGGATGGATGGGCTGGATTTTAAATGTGCCAGTAAAGAAGCCTGGTGCACCACCAGAGGGAGCCTATTCCAGAGTCTGGGAGCAACAAACGTGAATGCATGCTTCCCACAAGCTTTAAAATCCCATTTTGAGAACATGCAGCAGTAGATGGTCAGCAGACCTCAGTGACCTGGAGGGGATGTAGGGGTTAATCAGCTTTGACAAATATAAGGGGGCTAAACCATTCAAGGCATTGAAGGCAAACATGTCAACTTTGTATTTCACGCAAAAGTGCACAGGAAGCCAGTGAAGATCGGCCAGGTTAGGAGTGATGTGACAGCGTCTGTGTTTGCAAAAATGATAATAGACAAGGATAAAAGGGACTTAAGCTTAACCTGGTTTCATGTTTTGTTACTATAATTGAAATACTGGGATGAGGAGCTAGGGAGGAAGTCAGAAAGTATGCTGATTAGCTTAGCGATTCAGAGTGGAGGTTGTTGCCTTTTGCAACAACTGCTTTTCTTTTTTATTTTTATTTTTATTTTTTGGTTTACAAACATGTTATGTTTTTTTTTTCTCTTTTTGTGTGTGTATGTGTGTTTGTATCTGGGTGGGTGGGTTGGTGGATGGAGGTGGGCAAGGGTATGTTTGTGTGTGTTACATGTTTTATTTTTTGTTTTTTTATTGTTTGTTTTTTTAATGGAATGCTTTGCTGCATCTTCTAAACGGGTACCAGGGTATCTTTTTCTTATCTATTTACAGGGGATATCCAGCAACAAGTAATAAACATGTCAGGTTCTAACACACCTTTTGCATCAGTTGGTGCATTTACCCTCCCACTGTCGTTATGGGTGTGACCCCACGAGGAAAGTTAACAACTGAGCAGGATTGATGGTTTATCCCTTGAGGCCCACGTGGCAGGGGCGAGGTGGGGCTCACTCCTCACCCCTGCCACATGAACCCAAAAGATAAACCATCAAATTGTGTTTTTCTTTCTATCTGTGTACTTACTGAAGGGGCCTTGGAGGATGACAGCACCACATGCATTCTGGGTAAGTGAGCAGGTTTGGACGCTGGTGGGGACGCAAAGGTCACTACTTGACGAGAAGCAGAAGTTACATTTCAGTGCCTCTCCTACAAATAACACAAACAAACGCAGGAAACAATAAAGACAATGTGAACAACAAGATGTCAAAAACAAAGGAGTAAAAACTGAAACTTTTCTACCAGTTTAGTTGCACGAGAACTCAGGTGCGTTGTTCAACATGTAGCTAAGTTTTGTAATAGGAATAAGAAATAGCAATTTCAGGTTTGTACTTTTGTGTTTGTATAATTAAAATGGGGGAATGAATACCACTAAATTTAGTATAAAGTTAGTGAGAAGCATTGGGGTCACCTGATTGGTTTATTATGCGCATACTTACCTTGGAACAGAATGCACAACAGAACCATGGCACATGCTGCAGTCCTCATTTTAATTCAGCAAAAAGGATCCTGACATCCGGGTAAAAGTGCAAGAAATACAGCTATTAGCAGACAAACAGTGTCTTGGAGATGATATCTGGTATGAAAACCGTAAAAGCCAAGCCATAGATTCCTACCTGTAAGGTTGAGGCTTGACTGGTTCCTGTGTGCTCAGAAATTCCACTTGAATCTTTTAAATCCTGTGTGGGCGTGACAGTTAGCTCTCAGTTTTTCTATGACTTGCAACATCATCCTTCCCCTTGTTTTTTGCTGAGAGGTTGTTATTGGTCAACATGGATTGCAAAAAAATAGAATTTTGGAACCGCCCTGAACCATCCCGACGCACCCAGTCACTGACTAGCTGAGTTTGGACCGGTGCTTCTATAATTCTGCAACATCAAAATATTCTGTATGTTCCTGTTTCAATCCAGTCTGCTTCCTGTTTTTAAAGACAGTGTGGTTTGTTTGTTTTGCAGTTGTCCAACCTTTTTTGACCCGTGAGCAACTTTTACACAAAGAAAGTACAGAAAAGCTACTGCCAAACAATTTATTCACATTGATACTTTCCATGTGTGATACTGCGTACCATGTTAAAAGTTCTATACTTACTATTTTACCATGTACTGTGTTCACAAGTTGATTTCTCTGTATTCCAACACATCAATAATATTTTTTTAAGTTACAAGAAAATAGTGAAGTTCTGAAAATGAAAATAAACAAAATATTTTGTTTATTAACTAATCAGATACTTCCTGATACTTTCAGCTTCATGTGAATAATTTGATATTTTTCTAGAATGGATCATTTTGAGCACACAGGAACAGCTAACCTTCTCCTCTTCAGCCTCTGCCCTTCCTGGAGCAAAAATGCCAGTTTTTCGTGTTCAGCATTTTGGTTATAAATGAACAAATACTTCCAAAAACAATGCCATTTAAATAACATTTAATGTTCTTTAAATAACATGTAATACAAAACCTTTCAACTGTTATGATTATTTAAACAATCAACACAACAATTCTCACAAAATTAATAAAGCTGAAGGTATTTCAATAAAATACAAGCTAAATGTGATGATACGCAATATTCTAAATAGCTTTAACAGAAGTGAAAAAAGTAAAAACAGAAATAACATTTCTTTATGCTTCCCTGATTCATTTAATCTTTTTTATGGGTTTTTGCTTCAATAACTGCAGGTAAAATGATTCTTTGCTGCATTTTTGTTGATAATGTTAAAATATGGTTGGAGGTTTATTCTTTTTCTCTGCCTTTGGATTTGCTGTGTAGGTCTGACGACTGTGCAACACAGGTGTTACCACGGTGACCTTAATCAACCACATGCAGAAACTTTAACATTTCTGTATCTGCTTTCTGTCACGGTGTGCCGGTGAGTGGAGCGGAGGTGAGGATCCAAAAGCAGGGGAAGCAGGCAGGCAGGCAGGCAGGCAGGCAGGCAGGCAGGCAGGCAGGCAGGCAGGCAAAATGACCAGAACGGTCAAAGGGTTTTAATGAGACACGCAGGACAACGAAACAATGAACCGACAAAACACACAGAACTGAGAGGGTTTAAATACATGAGGGCTGGGAGCTTGGGTGATTGGAAAACGAGAGGCAGGTGGGAGCAATTAACAGGGACACGTGACTGAACAGAACGGGGTGAAGGACAGGGTGTGACACTTTCCCTTGCACACTGTTCATGAATCGGTCAAGATCTTGGTTTGTCTTCTAATCCTATTGGAACCAAAGGTTTAGAGAAAATGTGCAACAGGTAGAATGAAAATGTTGCTTCTGACACATTTCAAAACAGAAACCATGGTTTCTATGGAGCGGTGCTGTTAAGTTTCAGATCTAGTGCTGTGGTTAACAGTGATTGCAACAAGACTGATTGTTTCTCAAGGTGGGAATTTTTCTGTTTTTGCAGTACTTGAATGTTTCTTTGCGATGTATATTTAAATGTGCTTGAATATCAGAAAAAACAAAGGAAAACCCATTGTTCAAGTTGATGCTAACTGCAATAAGTAAGCTCTAAAAATAGTTCGGACTACCATAAAAAAGTAAAGTCATTTCAAATGAAATCCTCAGAAATACAAATGATAACTATCTGAAAATAGAAGTTTCCTCTAGTCAGAACTCAATTTCAAAAAGGCACAGATTTTATTCTAGAATTATCTATCTATCTATCTATCTATCTATATATCTATCTATCTATCTATCTGATTATTCCATATTTTCCTAACAAAACATTTCGCTCTCAGACTGCTGGTTTACTGGTGGTTCCTAGAATATCGAAAAATAGGATAGAAGGCTGATCATTTAGTCATCAGGCTCCTCTCTTGTGGAACCAGCTCCCAGCTTTAGTCCATGAAGCAGACACCTTGTCTACTTTTAGGACTAGGCTTAAAACTTTTCTATTTGTTAGAACCTATGGGGGGAGGAGAGAGAGCAGGGGAGGAGAGAGAGCATGCGCAAATTCCCTATAACAGCTTTAATCTGCTGTCTCATTTTAATTTTAATTCCAGACAGTTTCTCCCCTTGTTCTGATCACAGTGTCCGCTAATCGGAGATCTGAACAAGTTCCTTTGACAGACACCAGGAGATTCAGTTCATGACAACTGATATTTTTTAGAGTTTTCAAAATGCAGTTGTCGACTTCAACAGGTGCTGCATACCAAATCTGCTGTTGCCCGGGCTCGATTGTCATTCACTGAAAACTCCCTTGTCTTGATTTTAACGTCAGAGATAAACATTTAAAAAACAAAAATAAGGAGATAAAATGCAATTTGACAATAGTCACTAGTTTTGTTGATCTGGGATTACTGTTAACCACACAGTCAATCTCGCAGTCCAAGAGGTTTCAACTAAAATACACACTCTTAGCTTTTATTGGGCTCTCTTTTACAACCAAGTTCTGATAAACAGTCAATTTCTCAAATCGAGGGGTTCCACTAAAACCCGTTCCCTTTCAGCCACCAAAAGTGGCACAGTTCATAGTTCAAATTATATTAGTCACCAGAATACCAGGAATTTAATATTTGGCCAGTGCTTAACTGTTTGATGCATGAATTATGAAATCTTCAACCATGATTATTTAACAATGTTTTTCATTCATCATCAGGTGTGAATTAAACAAATTTCAACAAATATTTTTTGTAACATTTACTAATTTGCAAATAATTTACTACATATCCACCACCGTTGACAGCGTGTTTTCTGAACCTGAAATATGTAGGCAGGACTTACTGAAGTCCACAAGGAGGGGCTCAAATGCAATAAAGTCTTCAACAGCTGCGCTTAATAGCAAAAACGAATAAATAAACTACAATTTTGAGAACCTGTCCACTGTAATGACCACTTTGCATCAAGGAGTTGATTTTTACATCTTTATGTTCTAGTTCAGTGACCTTCAGGCCTCAACTGATAAGACCATATTAGCTCAGAGCACAGCAGCTGTTGTTTGGGGTTTTTTGAGCCTGGCTGTGCTCTCTCTCTCTCTCTCTCTCTCTCTCTCTCTCTCTCTCTCTCTCTCTCTCTCTCTCTCTCTCTCTCTCTCTCTCTCTCTCTCTCTCTCTCTGTTTCACATCTTCAACCCTTTTTTCTCTCCACCGCTCTGCATTTCCTCGTAAGCATAATACATTTGTGACACGTCAGCGGTTATCAAAATCATGTTTTCCACCAATCCTTTGATAATTTTCTGATAATTTCCACATTTCCTGGATTTAAATTTCCATCAATATACAATATTCACTCAAATGGTATTTTGTGAGTTCTTATTCCCCCATATAGATACCACACTGTCTCTTCTTCAGCATGAGGTCAGATTTAGGCTTACGAATCCACCCTTCAGCTGTGTGTCTAAACACAGCAGGACTCATTTACCATCCAACCTGTTTAAAAGTCTGACCACCAACTTGAGACGTGTGCAAATGAGTTGCAATATCCTTCTTTCTACAATAATAAGCAAGTCCAGACCCTCTCTCAGTCATTCAAACAACAGTTAAAGCAGACAACATCTAAGACAAACAAAGAACAACACAGATAACTAGAGCATGTTTCTATTTCTCCGGCAAAATTCTTAAAACCAGCCAAATACAGACAGCATTCAGAGAAGCTGTCAAAAACCATCCTATTCAAGGCGGACGTCACCACTTAATCTCATTGTTACCACACCGGTCTACTTCATTTCTTACACCAGAGTTGCATTTCTAATTTCGGCTAAAATGCAGAAAACCAAGCCAAATAGAGACAGCATTCAAAAGAACCCGTCAAAACCATCCTATTCACGGCGGACGACACCAAAATTTGACCTCTAGTCAACTAGGATTTCTCTCGGTACCACAAAGACAAAACGACAAAAAACAAACTTGTCTCACCAAATCTCTCCACTTCTGGGCATGACCTCGTGGATCCGCATTTCTCCTAGCGACGTCAAGACCTCACCGACCCCCCAGCAAAACTCAGCGCAGGAGGAGATTTAGGTTGTCGACAGTCCTCCGGCGTCGGTTCATGGCGCCGCGAGGTGACGGGACCCCGGCGCTCGAAGGACCAAATTATGTCATGGATTTTATCAATATGTTTATCAATAAACCCATTTCCTGGAGTTGAAGAGAAAAAGGGACAAGAAACAATGAGGCAGACATACAACCAAATCATGATTTAATGGCAAGTGCGCAGGGCAAATGCCTCGAACATCTGGTCACAGAGTTTATTTATAGGAAAAGATAAGGAAGGAATGGGAGTGGATCGTGTGTGTGTGTGTGTGTGTGTGTGTGTGTGTGTGTGTGTGTGTGTGTGTGTGTGTGTGTGTGTGTGTGTGTGTGTGTGTGTGTGTGTGTGTGTGTGTGTGTGTGTGTGTGTGTGTGTGTGTGTGTGTGTGTGTGTGTCACATTTTGAGTATGGTTAGGACCCAAAATGCAGATACCCCAGATGACACGAGGCAGGAGCGTTTCAAAAATAAATCCTTTATTTAGGATGATGAGCTAAAAATCCAAAGGGGCAGGAAGCCAAAAACAAAAATCCTGAATAAGGAGAACAAAACCTCACATAGAGCACAAAACCTGGAGACTAGAACTAAAGCTCACTTACAGCACAAAAACCTGGGGAATGAGACACAAAGCTCACACAGAGCACCAAAACAACTCTGACAACTACACACAATGGACCGACAACACACTGAGACAAGGAGAGGGCTTTATACACTGGGGCTGGAGTGATAGGAGACGAGGAGCAGGTGTGTGGGGAGCTGGTACAGGTGAAAGCAATAATGAGAGGAGGAGCATAGGAGGACACCAGACCTGACTGGGGAAGGACACACACACATGCACCGAGCTGGGGGAGGACACACACACACATGCACCGAGCTGGGGAAGGACACACACACACACACCGAGCTGGGGAAGGACACACACACACACACACCGAGCTAAAGAAGGACACACACACAGAGAGAGAGCTGGGGACAAGAAAGGCTGGAGCTACAAAGACACAGAACGTGAAGGAACACCTGGAGGGTCTGGGGATGACTGAATGAACACAGGACCTGGGAGGAATGATCTAAAGAGCTACAAACAGAAGACACATGAAGAACACAAAGAGACACATAAATGAGACGCAGACAAAAGACACATGAGGGCGCTCTGAGACACAAAAGTGGAACCTAGAGAGGGATGGAGAACACGAGGAGACACATGAGGGAAGACGCAGACCCTGACCATGACAGTGTGTGTGTGTGTGTGTGTGTGTGTGTGTGTGTGTGTGTGTGTGTGTGTGTGTGTGTGTGTGTGTGTGTGTGTGTGTGTGTGTGTGCTTTCAGGACATTCAGTTAATAGATCTGTTAATAGGACTAAAGTAATGAAATATAAAATTTCCATAACAGAGTCTTTGGTCTGAGTCAGCTCAATTGGGTCCTTCATTCCTCAACATGAAAATAAATATTTCAATCACATACGGTGCCATGCAAACGTTTTTGGACCCCTTTAACTTTTACACATTTTGACACTTTATAGCCACATACGTAAATGTTTTTATTGTGATTTTCTGTGATAGACCAGCAGAAAGGAGAACATTCAACTCTAGTTAAAGAAAAAAAAAACTATTTTTGTGTAGCTCTTATAGCATGTCTGATTTAGATGAGTTAAGTTTAGGTTTTTTATAGTTGTAAAAACACAATACAGTATTTGTAACCAAACCCCCATCCTGTATGGTAATGAAATCATTGACATATTTTGTTTTGATTGATCTGCTCTGCCTGCAGACCAACAACCTTACAGCATGAAGCCAGTGTCAGACGGTGTTTCGACCACTCAGGTGGAACTGGCCTCCCTACAGTGTCCAGATTCTGTGAATCTGCTGGATGAGTTCTGAAAGGCTGAGAAGTAGGGACCAAGGCCTGATGCTGGAGCTTCCTGCAGGGTCAAACAAACCTGGTGAGAAAAATGACGCAGGCGGGCAGCAGAAGCAGTGATCCTGGTCTCCCTGCAGACAAAGACGAGGATTAACCTTTTTTGCCCTGAGTTGCAGACCAGAGAGGTCAAGCTGAGTTGTTGGTCACATGGTTCAGATACAAAAAAAAAACTTTAAAAGCTGAAACTTCAATTGCTGTAAGAAGTGGAAAGTCAACATAAAAGAAGAAGTCAGAGGGAGGAGAAAAATAATAAAAACTTAGTGGATTTTTTTCTTTCTTTGGTTCTGGGTTGGCTTATTTTAAAGTGACAGTTCTGAATTTTCATGCATTTTGTGCAGTTTACAGCATTTGTCACATAATGTTCTACGTGTTTCTTGGTCTGTTTGACTCCTGTAACATGAACAGCATCAAGTCGCCTATATACCTGAGCCAAAGCTATTGTTATTGGGTGAGAAATCTAAGATTTAGCTACATCTGCTCAATGAGACAACGCTCAAATAACTGTTATTACTCATCGCTTCAAACACTTTGTGTTTGTGTGAACCACCCAAAGGTCATCTTTGAATCTTAGTAGTTGTCTTATTGTTGGCACTGGTCGACACCTCCAAGAAATGTTTTAGTAGGGCTCGGTTTATTTTATGTTATTTATTAGTTAGAATTTTTTTACTTCGAATTGCTTTGTGTTTAAAATGGTGCATGAATTGATTTAGAAAATGTCATTTTACTATTTTTTAATTCATAAACTGATTTCGTTCCGTAAATCTCATTATTTATTTACTAATGTTTTTAACTGGAATGCACAAGCCAATAAACTGAGTACAGTGGTCTTTTGAATAAATCTTTTTTCTGTCATTTACACCGATGACCAGCTGGTGGCGGTAAAGAGTCACGTTTGTTTTTGCTAGCTCTAGTTAGATAAAGAGAAGAAGAAGCTAAGCAGCAGCGCTGTAATGTGTTAGAAAGAGATTGAAATTATATTTATTAAACTATTACATTAGAAGCCATGGATGTAGTTTTATATATAATAGCTGCTGTTATCCTCGTCGTTCTGATTTTATTTGCGGTAAAGCTGCAGGGGAAAACACGCAACGGTAAGTTAGCCTACAAGCTAACCTTAGAACACTTAAACCTATTTGATTACTCAAAACAATGTTGTTTGTCGCATTTAAGATTGGTACTTGACTATTAATGTCTAGGTGTCATGTTTAGTGATTACCCGCGTTTCTATTAAAGTAGTGGGCGTTTTTATTAAGAAAATCGTGATTAGAGCTGTTAGGCAACGTCAGCTCAGAGCGGTCTGTACATAACTACGGAAACTGTCCTAGGTGAATTCAGCCCATTATTATCCAGTCAAAACAGCTTGAACTTATAGAAAACTATTCCAGAGAACAGCACAAGTGAAGAAATTTCATAAAAATATTTTATTTGTGCTGCATCTCCTTCATAGATGCTTCATACGAGAGGAAATAAACTAATTCATGTTTTAAAGTTTGTGCTTTACGTATTAACACGTTTTTATTTACTATAGTTCCTGATGTGTGGCTTGAAGCACAGTTGACTGATTTATTTGTGGCGATGCTTTATTTTACACCTCACTCTTCCTATCTGAAAGTCTTTGATTCTTGTCAGTTTGAAGATGTTTTAGTCCATGTATGTAAAACAAAATTAATATCTTCAGCTGATGAGGAGCATCAGAGGGAGGTTGTCCGGGCAGCGGGGGCCCCTCCGCGGCCCCTGGAGGACCGGGGAGCCGGGATGCCTCGCAGGAGGAGGAACAACCTTGCTGCTATGATGGCTAACCGGCGCCCACAGAGACCAGAGCAAGGTGAGACCCAGAGATAAAATCATCACTAACCTTACAGCTGATCTGTGGGAAAATGGCTACATGTAAAAAACACCCACTGTGAAGCAACAGCTGTACAGGTCCATCTAAAAAAAACTGCATATTGTGATAAAGTTCATTATTTTCTGTAATGTACTGATAAACATTAGACTTTCATATATATTACATTCATTACCCACAACTGAAGTAGTTCAAGCGTTTTCTATTATTGATGATTTTGGCATACAGCTCATGAAAACCCAAAATTCCTATCTCAAAAAATTAGCATACAATATAAAAGAAAAGTGTTTTTAATACAAAAAAGTCAACCTTCAAATAATTATGTTCAGTTATGCACTCAATACTTGGTCGGGAGTCCTTTTGCAGAAATGACTGCTTCAATGCGGCGTGGCATGGAGGCAATCAGCCTGTGGCACTGCTGAGGTGTTATGGAGGCCCAGGATGCTTCGAGAGCGGCCTTAAGCTCATCCAGAGTGTTGGGTCTTGCGTCTCTCACCTTTCTCTTCCCAATATCCCACAGATTCTCTATGGGGTTCAGGTCAGGAGAGTTGGCAGGCCAATTGAGCACAGTAATACCATGGTCAGTAAGCCATTTAGCAGTGGTTTTGCCACTGTGAGCAGGTGCCAGGTCGCGCTGAAAAATGAAATCTTCATCTCTATAAAGCTTTTCAGCAGATGGAAGCATGAAGTGCTCCAAAATCTCCTGATAGCTAGCTGCATTGACCCTGCCCTTGATAAAACACAGTGGACCAACAACAGTAGCTGACATGGCACCCCAGACCATCACTGGCTGCGGGTACTTGACACTGGACTTCAGGCATTGTGGTATTTCCCTCTGCCCAGTCTTCCCCCAGACTCTGGCACCTTGATTTCCGAATGACATGCAAAATTTGCTTTCATCCGAAAAAAGTACGTTGGACCACTGAGCAACAGTCCAGTGCTGCTTCTCTGTAGCCCAGGTCAGGCGTTTCTGCCGCTGTTTCTGGTTCTAAAGTGGCTTGATTGTGACACTTGTGACACCTGTAGCCCATTTCCTGCATACGCCTGTACACGGTGGCGCTGGATGTTTCTACTCCAGGCTCAGGCCTAGTCCACACGTAGCCGGGTTTTTTTAAAAACGAATATCCACCCCTCCAAAAACTTGCATCCACACCACCTTGTTTTAGAAAAAAACTCTGTCCACACGTACCCGGATAAATACGTTGTTAAGGACATGCCAGACCTGTAGGCGGCAGTACTTCCCCCGTTCTTAACCTCGTCCTTCGTCTGTGGTCTTCCGCAAGGAGCAGTAATTCTGCTTGCAAAAACAAACAAGCAAAAAGCGCTTGGACAGTTGATAAAGCGAGCATAGCTCTGAGGGCTTCCATGCTGTCGGCTAGTGTAAACACAGGTCGCACACGTGATGTCAGCATTTTTTGTCGCGGAAAGTGACGTTGCGGACCTTAAAACTCCGGTTTTGTCTGTCCACACGCAGACACCCAAAACAGAGAAAACGCAGATCTTCACTTTGGCCAGTTTTTAAAAAGATCTGTTTTCGTGTGGTTGACAGGCCAAAACATAGAAAAATATCTACGTTTTGGCAGATCCCCGGCTACGTGTGGACAGGGCCTCAGTCCACTACTTCCACAGGTTCCCCAAGGTCTGGAATCGGTCCTTCTCTACAATCTTCCTCAGGGTCCGGTCACCTCTTCTCGTTGTGCAGCGTTTTCTGACACACTCTTTCCTTCCCACAGACTTCCCACTGAGGTGCCTTGATACAGCACTCTGGGAACAGCCTATTCGTTCAGAAATTTCTTTCTGTGTCTTACCCTCTTGCTTGAGGGTGTCAATGATGGCCTTCTGGACAGCAGTCAGGCCGGCAGTCTTACCCATGATTCCATTTTTGAGTAATGAACCAGGCTGGGGTTTTGTAAAAGCCCCAGGAATCTTTTGCAGGTGTTTAGAGTTAATTAGCTGATTCAGATGAATAGGTTAATAGCTCGTTTAGAGAACCTTTTCATGATATGCTAATTTATTGAGATAGGAATTTTGGGTTTTCATGAGCTGTATGCCAAAATCATCAATATTAGAAACAATAAAAGGCTTGAACTGCTTCAGATGTGTGTAATGAATCTAATATATATGAAAGTCTAATGTTTATCAGCACATTACAGACAATAATGAACTTTATCACAATATGCTAATTTTTTGAGAAGGACCTGTACTAGAAATACACAGATTAGAGGCACACTGAACAAACACCCTGTCGTAACATAACAGAGATCCTGTGAATTTCAGACGAGGAGCCTGGAGAGGATGAAGAGGTGGAGCAGCAGAACATCCAGCCTACAGCCAAGGTTGGAGCCAAGAAACTGAAGAAGCAGGAGGAGAAAGAAGCCAGGAAGGCCCAGAGAGAGGTCACCAGAACCCCCACGGCTCAGGCTTTACTCCCTCGCCCATCCCCTTCCATCTTCAACATATCTGTGCTGGATTGTTTGGTTTGCAGGCAGAGAGGGAGGAGAGGGAAGAACGGAAGAGAATGCAGGAGCTCAGGGAGCAGGAAAGACGCCAGGAGGAGGAGAAGGAGCGACTGCAGGAGCAGAAGCAGGTAACACCCACTCCTCTACATGTAGTATCCTTACTGGGTTCACAGGGGGAGATCCTGAGACTCTGCTGCTGTTACATTCAGGAGGAGGAGGAGCGCCGAACTAAAGAGGAGCAGGAGCGGCGGGAGGAGGAGGAGTACCTTAAACTAAAGTCCTCATTTGTCATCGAGGAGCAGGGGGAGGAGGAGCAGCTGTCTGAGGATCAGGTCTTCTACTACTGCGTGGTTTCTGTCCCTTTTCTCTTAAACGGTTCAGTTAAACGTTTGTTTTCTGTTCTCAGTCTCGCAACCTGCTGCAGGACTTCATCCAGTACATTGAGGTGAGCGCGGCCCACTGGGCCCAGTCTGGCCAGTCCTGTCGGTGAACTGGACAGTGACAGGCTGCTCTGTTGTGTCTGCAGAGCTCCAAGGTGGTCCTCCTGGAGGACCTGGCCTCACATTTTGGGATCAGGACGCAGGACGCCATCTCCAGACTGCAGGACCTGTTAGCTGAAGGAACCCTCACAGGTGAGCCGAGACGGAACTCTGGACCAGTCGGATATCTTCCTAGTACCAGTCACACTATAGTGGGGCTTTGGGATCAAAGAGCCCGTCTGAGCCCTGGGAGGTCCTGGTTTTAGGAACTTAATGACTCCAGAGGTTCGAATCTCAGCTCTTTGGTAACGGAGACTTTCTTTGTTCTGCTCGTTGCTGCAGGCGTCATCGACGACAGAGGGAAGTTCATCTTCATCACACCTGAGGAGCTGGACTCTGTGGCCCAGTTCGTCAGACAGAGAGGCCGAGTCTCCATCACAGAGCTGGCCCAGGCCAGCAACTCTCTCATCAATCTGATCCCAGAGAGCCGCAACGCCGCGTGATCCAGACCCTGCTCCTCATGAGGACGACGGATGGGACTAAGAACCGGACCGTCAGGAACAGGATCACGACACAGATTGTTATGCGAAGGGTTGGTTTGGTACTCAGCAACTATTAAAATATTTAACAAGATCATTAGATGTTTTTCTTGTGGAGAAAATGACATCATAATTTAGTACAAAAACAATTAGATCCTGACTAAGCTGTTAGGCTGGAGCCGATGGTCCATCCGGTCATGAAAGGAAAAATAATTAACTTGATCAAATTTATTCCATCGGATCATTTTAAACCTCTTATAAAAAGTTCTGATCAAGTTTTCATTTCAAATCGTCGAGTCCATCTGAGAGGACTTCAGCCTCCTGTCTGTGACGTCCCTCCTGGACCTTCTGTCCTCTCTGATTGGGTTTTATCTCCCACGTGGACGTGGCTCCTCGATCCTGAGAACACACAGACATTAAACTGGAGTCTGGGTTCAAACCCAGTTCCTGCTGACCCAGGTTACCTTTATGAGAACTCCCAGAGGAGCCAGCTCATGTCTGAGGGCATCGCAGGCTCTCAGCAGAGGGACTCTGTCTGGGTGAAGACCTGCTTTGCTGGGCGATCCGGTGTTGCTATCGTCCTGTCGGGTCAGCGCGAAAGCTCGGACTTCGGTTCTGAACCGGGTCAGCTGTTCCACAACGGCCTGCAGACTTCCAGAGCTGCTCAGCACTTCTGACTCCTGAAGGAGACGGGAACCACCAGGTCAGAAGCATCTGTCGGCAGGAGTATTCAGTCACCATGGAAACGATTCTGACCTTCCTGAGGAGCAGATCGATCCCAAACACATCCAGGATATGTGTGATGTAGCTGGTCATCGCTCCGAACACCGCAGGACTCCGGACCACTGCCGCAGTCTCAAAACACACAGGCACACACACACACACACACACACACACAGCTCAGAACCAACACCAGACTGCTCCTACTCTCCTTCCTGAAGTATGAGTCAGGGAGTTACCGTAGTAACAGGCTGGAGCTGACAGTTCCCATGATACACCAGATTCATCAGAACGCTGACCGCTCTCGGGGTGTCAAAGTCATCTGACAGCGCTCTGAGCACGCCGGACTTCGCCTCCGTCAGCCTGGAGAGGAAAAGTTTCAAGTATCAGACGGATCAGGTTAGCTGAGGGGCCTGCTCCACGATTCGAGGGCCTGGCTCACAATCCGGCAAAAGGGGGAGGATCTAAACTGATCTTCCTCAGTAGGATGGATCAGGAGCCGCTGCTCCTCGCCAAAAGGAGTGCTCTGGGTCTCCTTCCTCTGCAGGATTTCCAGGCACTAAGAGGACACCACTGTGAGGAAGCTGCTGAACACAAAGGAAACAACAGGAGTGATCAGAGGAAGTAGATACCTTTCCCAGAGGAAAGCCTCCTGAACCGGAGAACACAGCAGCTGACCCTTCATGTAAGCCTGAGCCGCCTCCATGAAGGTGCGGATGGTCTCCAGAGCGGAACGAGCCTCCGTCATGCTGCTGTCGCTGTAATCTATCGCTGTCGACACAAAACAAGCCAGCATTTAAAAGAAATGAGGCTAAACTACAAAACCAAACTCTTTCAACCTACCTGATCGGTATTTGGACAGGAGGCAAAACATCCGAAACTCATCAGCAGAGTACGACAGCAGGAAGTCCTGGTGTAGGAAATCAGACCAGGAAATGTTTTTTTGTCAATCGCAGAATTTTTCACCCCACCAAGACCTGCCCCCCCTAAAAACTGAGTTGAATGCAGAAGTCCCTGAAATACGTGAAGTACATTTACAAAAGAAAAGACCTTTAAGAAATAACACATTGACAAATAAGCTCCTTGTTACATTTTTTATTTTTTTCAAAAATTTATTTTGTTTTTATTTTATGGGAAAATTTTATTTTACATAGTTCTAATGAACTATTTATTAAAAACAGTAGGGACATGTTTTGGTGAAATTATGGCGATATGATGCGTATCACGATACGGGGAGACAAAACGATATATTTTGACACATTCAGTCAGACGACATTAGCGATTATCTTAGACTGAAACGATTGTAGGAAAATTCAACAGTCCAAACATACCTAACACATTTAACACGAGGTATCTGAACCATAATAGAGGGATTTACATTTCAATGGTGGAAACAAAGCCCACTGACCACTGCTGCCAAGTAGCGGTCGGTGTTTGAATTGTACCAAAAGAAAAGAAAATACACAAATGTTTGCATGTAAATTCTTTCAAAAATTAGATACACAGCTTTTGAATATCAATATATCACAGGAAAAAATATTGCGATATATTGCCATATCGATCTTTTCTTACGTCCCCAAATAACGGCATTAATTTAGAATAAAGTGGATTTCCATAAGTCACCAGAAGCAGCAGCTGTTATCTTTAATAAAGATCGGATTAATTTATTAATGACCACACAACAAGTTGGTGGGATTAAGAGCCCTGCACTGGAGCCCTCGGCCTGCAGCCTCGGCAAGCTTTGGGCTGACGACTGTGTAATTACCTCGGACACGGGCCGGGCCGGGCCGGGCGTTTTTATTTTTAATCAAATTCATTAAAAAATTACTGAAACACTTGAACGCAGCAGCACCTGCCTGCTTCTCACGCACCGTTAGCTCAGTTAAGGTCTGTGTGGTTTATAAATGCGCCGATATAAACGAATTCTCAAACTGCTGATTGAAACGTGCCCCTATTCTAATACGCCATTTTATGTCCACTTTGATGTCAGAAACCATTCGTTTATTCTCATGAAAACGGCAGCATTCTGTTTTTCTGTGAATAAATTCGCTCTGCGGTTAAAAAAATACAGCATTCATTGCTGGGTTTTTTCTAACTGCAGAGCGCATTTTCAGAGCGGCAGATTAAATTTACAAACGCTTTTATTAATTGGGAGAGTTTATTTAATCTGCCGCTCTGAAAATGCGCTCTGCAGTTACAAAATTAGAATGCTGCTTTTTTTCTAATTGCACAAGAGCGCATTTTCAGAGCAGATTAAATTTATAAATGCATCCAATTAATATAGTGTTCGTAAATGTCATCTGCCGCTCGGAAAACACGCTCTGTTAGAAAAAAAAGCTGCATTGATGCTGCTTTTCTTTCTTTTTTTTAACTGCAGAACGCTTCTCACAGATAATTAGAATGCTGAGCATCCTATCACGCTAAAACATTATGAAATGTTAAAAAAACGCCGGGCTCGGGTCGGGCCAGAGAATCCTGAAAACCTTTTCGGACCGTGTCGGGCTGGGGCTCCACCCCCTCGGGCCGGTCTGGACACAGGCTCAGATTTTCGGCCCGTGCAGGGCTCTAGTGGGATTTGTTTCCAGTACAGCGTGACACGCTCACATCTCTGAATATAGATCCTTAACGACATGGTTCAGTGACTGTTACGTCCCCGACAGGAGGTGTTAAAAAGTGAAGGAGGGGGTAAGAATTGCGACAGTGGATTTAAAATGGGTTTAATTGTTGTAAAAGTTTCTAAAAACAAGAGCAAACAGATGGCGAGCATTATTAAAATAATGCTAAATGAAAAATTCACTATTAACAGTTAAAAGACAACTTATCAACTATATAAAACACCTGGTTAAAACTTTATTAAAAGTTTCACCTACACTGAAGGTGTTTTAAAAACACTACGAAGTTGATAAAAGTCTAAAAACCAAAGCAGAGTTAACCTTAAAACAGAGTCAACCAAGTTGACATCAATCAAAGATCCCTAAGGATCACTCAGAGGTTTTCCCTTTAAAACTCCTCAACTCAGAGTTAAAACTTTAAAAGTTAAAACTCATCACAAACAAAGGGGTTGGAAACAACATGAGAGGCTGGGTGATCCTGGCTCCTGCATCCCAATGGCCAGGCTGGTAGCCATAACAGTGACCATGTAGCCATTGGGTTTTTCAATCTGGTTGACTCTGTTGGCAACAAGTGTAGGTCTTTACCTTGATGCTGACGTAGTTCTTCAGAGATTTAGACATTTTCTCTGCACTTCCTCTCAGGTGTAAATGACCTGAAAACAACAACGTCCTTCAGAGGAAATACTTCACTGTCTGTTGAATTATTTACAGATTCACTCAGATAACGACAACTATTTTGTTAAGAAATAGAATCTCCACTGAGAAAACGCAATGCAGGCAGACATAGAAACACTACTTTGTGTGTGTGTGTGTGTCTCAGTCCCCAGTGAGTCATGGCGGATGGCTGCTCATACTGAGCCAGGATCCTCTGGAGCAGGGGTATTCAATTGTGTGCCTGGAAAGCTGGTATCCAGCATGTTTCAGTGGTTTCTCTGCTCCAACACACCTGATTCAGTGGTTGAATCACCTGTGCAGCAGCTCATCGGGCTCTGCAGATGCCTGTTAATCACCTGCTGATTGAAACTAGGTGTGTTGAAGCAGGGAAACAACTAAAACATGCTGGATACCAGCCCTCGATTGAATACCTCTGGTCTGGAGGTTTCTTCCTGTTAAAAGGGGGTTCTCCTCAACCACTGTGGCTACATGCTTGCTTAGTTTGAAGATTGATGTGAAGACTCTGACACAACAAGTCAGTGACTCGATGCAATCTGCTGGGCTCCTTATAAAGGAAACTGAACTGATAGCACAATGAACTGAACTCACTTGGAAAGTTGACTTTGTGAAGTGACGATGCTTGTGGTGATTTGGCACAATATAAATAAACTGAATCAAATGTATTGTTATTATAATACAAAAGTAATTTCTTTTCTACAGCAGCCTGTTAGGGCCACTATGAAAGCAAACTTACAAAACATTCCATTGTTTTCTCCTCCAACTTTAAACAGACACAATGTAACTTTTTCATCTTTTTAAACAGTTTTCTTGATCCAGTATGTGCTAAAATGACCGTTTAAAAGAAACTTTTTGTACCTTTGCAACTTCACTGTGAAATATATTTTTCACAATTTAATGAATAATTCATGTTTTCCTGATGAGCTTAGGGCCCTAAAACTGGAAGTTTTAACCTTTTTTCTTGTAATTATATGAATTCATATTTGTGGAAAAATGTGACCCTTAAGCATCAGAGAATAAATCTGTTTTATTCCTAATTAAATTAGAGAATAAATCTGTTTTTATTCCTAATTAAATTAGAGAATAAATCTGTTTTATTCCTAATTAAATCAGAGAATAAATCTGTTTTTATTCCTAATTAAATTAGAGAATAAATCTGTTTTATTCCTAATTAAATTAGAGAATAAATCTGTTTTTATTCCTAATTAAATCAGAGAATAAATCTGTTTTTATTCCTAATTAAATCAGAGAATAAATCTGTTTTATTCCTAATTAAATTAGAGAATAAATCTGTTTTATTCCTAATTAAATCAGAGAAAAAATCTGTTTTTATTCCTAATTAAATCAGAGGATAAATCTGTTTTTATTCCTAATTAAATCAGAGAATAAATCTGTTTTTATTCCTAATTAAATCAGAGAATAAATCTGTTTTTATTCCTAATTAAATAGAGAATAAATCTGTTTTATTCCTAATTAAATCAGAGAATAAATCTGTTTTTATTCCTAATTAAATTAGAGAATAAATCTGTTTTATTCCTAATTAAATTAGAGAATAAATCTGTTTTTATTCCTAATTAAATCAGAGAATAAATCTGTTTTTATTCCTAATTAAATTAAATAACGTACTCTCAGCCCTCCATCCAGCTCTAGTTTTTCTACGTCTCTAAAACAGCACTGGACCTTTCTGACTTTTTTGATGCTCGAAAAGTAAATCAAAAGCAATTCTAAAGGAGAAGAAATTAATTTATAAAGTTACTATAGCATAAAAACAATCCTCCTTTTATAACTACTTTAACAGTTATAACCCAGTACAGGTGCACTTCCTGGTTACATGGAGTTGTTTTCCAGTCTTCAGAGCTCACCTGAGTGGAGGAAGTAGTTGGCCCACTGCTGACACTGATGGAAGGCTTCACTCTGAGCGATCTCATTCTCATGGTGAGGAAAGGCCAGGTCCATCCCTCCAGAGTGGACATCCAGCTGACCCCCAAACACACAACTAAAACACACACACACACACACACACACACACACTGGTAACATGCTGATCTTATTCATCAGTACTTATTACATTGTCTCATATTTTTAAAGGGGAACTAAGCCGTTTTGGCTTGCTTTTAGCACCCCTTGAGTCTATTTGTAGAACTGAAAGCAAAACTTCTCTCCTCGCTGTGTGTTCATCTTTTTAACACCTTTATCTAACAGCTGAAACGTCTCCCAGCCTTCATTAGTTTCTAGAAGAGTGATTCATTACTAAAATTTTTAAAAAAATCTGCAGTGTTCATGTTTTGAAACATGCAGGAAACCAGACTGCAGCTCCAAGTGTCAGCTCAATTTTCCCAACAGAACAGCCCACCAGTCTGAAGTTGCAAGTGGAATATTCTGGCCACAGGGGGCGATAGGGGCTGGGTGGCTTTTCATTAACCCTGTAAAGGGTCATTTTAGCACATACTGGCTCAAGAAAATGATTTTAAAATATGAAAATGTTGGAAAGTATCCATTTAAACACAAACAGAAGCTGTGTGTAAAAAGACAGAGTGGATTTAGGTCTTCAGTGTCCTACTGCTGATCAGCAGAGTGAGATCTTGCAGGACTTTAGTCAGTGAGCTGTTCTGGAGCATACGGGCGTGTGTTAACAAGAAAATGAAACAAATCAGTAATGACTTCAAAGGAACTGTTGCTGCCCCTCAATCTGGGATGGCTAAAAGGTCATTTCTAGACCATTTGTAGCCTACAGAAAGATAAGTGGAAACCATTAAAGCTGTTACAGCAAATCTGCAAACAAGCTAGCTTTTCAACACAAACACAGTCCACAGAACACTCAACCCTACCCTCGGGTATCTTCCCTCTGCCGGAACCGGAAACCTGCGACAAAATGTGAGTGCGCTGAACACCAGTCACTATTTTTTAGGCTTTCCTTTTGGGACTGGTAGTTTGTCCTAAAGTTGAAGTGGTAGCAGCCGGCTGTTTCTCCACCTCTGAACTTCTCGCCCCAGTGGTGCTCTGTTGCGGAATACTCAATAAATGGAGGACCCAGGGAAGTGTAGCGGTTGAGCGAGACCGACAACCAGATGGTACAATAACTCTAACCCTAGACAAATGTGAGAGAACCACTCTACTCATTTTTTTTTTCATCTTTTATCTCCACTGTATATTTATAGCTTTGTTACAACATTAAGAGGCATGAAAAAAATGTTTTAGGCTCATTTGTTTTCCAGATTTGCCATTGTAGCTTTACACATTCCAGCAGACTGCCCCCTAAGTCAGAGGCCAATGCTCAGAGAAGCTATCTTTGACTCTACAGCAGGTCAAATGTCACAACTGAGCCAAAAACAACAGAAGTTTGGCCTGTTTGGAAGAGTTTCAGGAGAAAGCCTCTGTTCTCTAAGAATGGGACACACTGTGCATTGTTTGGCCATCCTAGACAAATCCTTCATCGTGAACAGAAAGGTGACAAAAAAATGGTGAATATAAGGATGATTAGCAGGTCTGTGGCCTTCCAGTGTGACTGGCCCAGCAACAGCTTTTTGAGCACCTTCACAACCAAATTCAGCCTTCAACAGTCTTTAAGTAGTATCAGAAAACCTACAACTCCCGTCTCCGATGGATCACTGAAAAGTCGCCCTCTAGTGATGCAAGTACAATGTCAGAGCAACTATGGCGGCTACATTCAAGAACATGTGGAGCTCTCTTAAAAAACAAAAAAGTTCTTTTTTTATTCTCCTTTCATCTTTGTTGTCGTTTTTTCACGAGTAGCTCTAGTGTGTCCTGCTAGAGCGAGACGTCGTACCGTTTGGCTCGCTGAGATCTTGGATGGTAAAAAAGAAATAAAATTATCTTTTATAAACACCTTGAGGTGCTTCACAAGAACAAAACAAATTCAAAATAAAAAAAAGTTTTAAAAACTAATAAATTGAAGGTATGGTTAAAATGTATGGTACAGTTGCCCTGCGATGGACTGGCTCTCTGTCCAGGGAGTACCCCGCCTGATTGCCCGTTGACCGCTGGAGATATTTGCCAGCCCCCCCCACCCCCACCCCACCCCGCAACCCTGCGTGGACAAGCTGGTTCAGAAAATGGATGGATGGATGGTACAGTGTGCCACCTCTGTGGAGTCCTTACAGTGTGACATGAAGCAGTCTTTTGCAACAGATGAAGAATGCACAGTGTGGCCTTGGTAAAAGAACAAAGCAGCAGGAGTAAAATGTTCCATGACCTCCTCTGATGACTCACGCCTTGAGAGTCTATCTGGCTGGCAGACAAAGTTTGGACCTAAACGGAACCAGATCTACAACAAGGTGAAGCCTGCTTCTGTTATTGCTCACTCAATAAGCTCTTTCTGTGTGATTAGTGATGTTTTGTTGATAATCTGAGATTGAGTTGACCTCATCTGAAAGTTTTCAATGATCAGATAAGTTACGTGTCTAACACTTGAACCTTATATTTTGACTGTGCTCATACCGAGACCATTTTGGTCTGCATTTTTTTAAGCCAAGCAGTGGCAACAATTGCAGATTCACACTCATCCGCTAGGCCCTAGTGACTAGGGAGTGGCACCAGAAGTGAGCAAATCCTCATTGACTCCCATGTTAAAAAAGCCATTTTCACAGCAGAAATAAGCATGTTTACAGCCTGGTTCAAAATACCGTTTTAGGTTTCATAGATCTAGTTTAGACTCTGAACTTTAATTTTGTCTGTGTGTTTGTGTTTGGGTGTTAATCATGGCATTAGTTGGACAAAAGGGCAAGCTGTGGTTATTGCCTGCACTAAAAAATTATACAAGCAAGTTTCTGCTTCATTTTTATCAGTAAGTAAAAATGTATTTCTGTACTTCATTTTGCTGGTTGAATGGGGGGGAACTACTGTGTCATTTACCTGCTTGGTCAAACATGTTAGTGGGGCTGCACTAGGGGTTGTACCAACTAGACAACTAGTCGACTTCACTGCTCTGTAGTAACTTTTTATGCCTTTCATAGACTAGTCGCTGTCACGTGATAATGACCAACAAGATGCAGTCCTCGGAAAAGACAGCAGGTGACAAGACCCTGCGCGTCGGGAGGCGACGGTCGGTATCTGACGCCCACAGTAACTGACATTTGACCGAATTGTGACCTTTACCCTCTTGCAATTTAACCTTCCCCTCATCCCCATCCTAATCTTAACCAGCTTGCACATGCAAAGCTCTGATCGTTGACGCGCTCCAGACATCTGCGTCCTGAGCACGGCCACAGTAACATTATCAAATTAGGTGTCGCCACCTCAAAAACAAATTTAACACGCGATCGTTTATGTCGGCTCATTTTCTTTTATGTTTTCTGTCTTTTATTTGTGCCCGATGCGTTTCGCTGCTGTGGAGCGGGGCGCATCACCTGTTTTGTCCTCCAGTGATTTCACCCCACCGGTGCAGCCGGCACGCACTCCGCTGTTTTTGCGGTCAGTAGGTCTTTTAGAACTGCAGTTCAAAGGTAACTCATGAGGTGAATATATATGAACCCAGGTAGCAGTTTTTCTTTAGGATTGAGAGGAGATGCAGGAAGATAATAAACAGACAGGACAGAAAAATAGTCAAATAAAAACAAGTTAGTTATTGTACCTGCTGGTTGCAACAAACAGACACCATTGAAGGTAATCAGAAGTGAGGAACAGAAAATGAAATAATTATTTTAATGTTTAGAGCAGCAGAAAGGGGCCGGCTTACCCTGCCTCCTGCCCGTGAACAGTAGCTAGAGCAGTCAGCTGGCTGTTAACCATTTCCTGGGGATGCCGGGACTCGCGGACCACTCCGATGCGAGGCTGTAGTCATGCTGGTCACTTGTGGATCTCTGAGGGAGACCGCTGTAACATCGCAGCTCTATTAGTTGACGCTGCTTCACTTTTGAGTCACTCAACCACATATTTCTCGCTAATAGTTTGCTGGTTTAATGGTTAAAAATTCTATGCGTTTACCATAACATTGCTATGTCATTTGGCCCCCAGCTCCACGACGGCTCCCAGCGCTGGGACCGTCAACAACGGCGGACATGCAAAACTTTGACCACTGTGAATCACTTTGGAGTCGCTTTACTGCATTTTTCTTGCTAAAACCGCCCAGAAAAATCTGTTAGCTTCAGGTTAGCATGTAGCTAATGTCCCGCTGATCTCCGACCATGGAGCACGAGCTGATGTAAAAGGCCACGTCGCCCGGCTACGATCGCAGCAGTCTGAGGCTCTGCTTGTAATTTAACAGTCCCGGACCATAATAGATCTCCACAGGCGACCAGCATGACTACAGCCTCACACGGGAGCCAGTCGACCATGCACGTGGGCTACCCCAGTCCCTGGCAGTGGTGGGAACCTCCCATTTTTGGCTTCAACTTGTCCCCTGCGGAGCAATGGGCAGGCTATGTCCATATTTTTATATGTCAATGGCTTGTACTGATGCTCAGTACAAGCCTACGGAGAGCAGACTGGTTGTAAATCTAACCTAGCAATGGTGGAGCACTCAATGTGCCAGCCAGGTCTTCCTGGGCCCCATGGCGATTCCCAGTATGGCTCCTGAGCTTTGGACCGCTTCCACAGGGCGAAATCCCTCGAGTCCCGTTTGTCTGAGCTGGCTAGAGAACCAAACAAACAGGTTTTCATTAGTGAAGTCTGTCCAGCAGACGTCACTCCTGGTGGAGACTTTTACTCAATCAATCAATCAATCAATCAATCAATCAATCAATCATTCAATCAATCAATCAAAGCTTTACTTATAAAGCGCCTTCCGCAACCCTGTCAGGAAGCCCAAAGCGCTGAACATGGTTCAGTTAAAGGTAAATTTATTGAATAAATCAAAAATAAAAGCAAAATTACAAAATACAAAATACAAATTACAAAATAGGTGAAACATTCTGGTACAGGACAAATGTGTAAAACAACGGATAGAGTGAAATCCTTTGCAGCCTGACACAGGGAAACAAAAATCAGAAAATTTCTGTTTTTATTTTAACTTTGTTATATTTTAAATGTAATGATTTTATCATCATTAAAAATCTAATTTAAACTTTTCACGTGTAGTTCTTCAATCCTCCACCAGAGGGGAGAAGTCACGCAGGGTTAAATGCTGCTGTGGAGTTTTCCTCTCCACTGTCCCTACATGCTTGTTTAGTACGGGCATTGCTGTAAAGCAATCTGCTGGGTTTAATAACAGTTTAATGTATGGTCCTTTTTTTACAATGTAGGGTTGAATTATGATCATTTAGAGCATTGGGGGTCAGAACTAGAGGCCGACCGATGCTTTTTTTTTTGGCCGACACTGATGCCGATTTTTTAAGAATGTTGTTGCTGATGGCCGATATCTGAAGTTGATTATTAAAGCAGATATATACATACATATATATATATATATATATATATATGTATGTATATATATATATATATATATATATATATATATATATATATATATATATATATATATATATATATATATATATATACATATATATACATACATATATATATATATATATATATATATATATATATATATATATATATATATACGCTTTCAAAAAGAAAGCGCTTTCAAATATACATACGTTTTAGCAGCACAATGATTGTGAAAGACAACTGAACATTCACTGTGTGCAATATAAATTAAATAAGTCAATAAATCACACATAAACCCAGTCAGTAAACAGACAAAGGCAGTGAGCTATTATTGTAACCTTCAACCACTAAAAACAACCAAAAACAAAAGAAAACTTGTGTTTCCAGAGCTATGCAGCATAAGGGACACAGACATACTAATGTACATTCGGTATTGCACACGTATTAAACTCATACTGAATATTACATTCATTCATCATGGGGCGACAGTGGCACAGGAGTTAAGTGCTCGCCCCGTAATCGGAAGGTTGCAGGTTCGAGCCCCGCTCAGTCTGTCGCTATCGTTGTGTCCTTGGGCAAGACACTTAACCCACGTTGCCTGCTGGTGGTGGTCGGAGGGGATGGTGGCGCCAGTGCTCGGCAGCCTCGCCTCTGTCAGTGCGCCCCAGGGCAGCTGTGGCTACATTGTAGCTCATCCCCACCAGTGTGTGAATGTGTGTGTGAATGGGTGAATGACTGATTGTGTTGTAAAGCGCCTTGGGGGGTTTCAAGAACCCTAGAAGGCGCTGTATCAAATACAGGCCATTTTTTACCATTTACATTGATGTTATTGTGTACCAGGATAATGCCAGTACCAGTTAAACTGAGGAGTTAGACACTCTTACTGCTGAGGGGATGAATGACCTATGGTAGCATTTCTGTTTTACATCTGGGATGTCTCAGTCTGCCTCTGAAGGAAGACTGAGACAAACTGAGAAGTATTAAGCCCCATCTGGTGAAAAACGATCGTATTGTTGTCATGAAGAAATGAACAACCTCATCAAATAGCTGACAAGGCCCTTGTCGTTTCCTGTTACTATAATGGCAGGATCAAAAGTATTATTTTATAGTTCATAAGCTAAAATCATTATGAACCTCTGATTGAGAAAATTTTTTTAACCATCAAAAGCGCTTTCAAATAAGTTAATAAATTAAAAATCCCCTACCAGGCTCTCCCTGAGAACCCACAGCTCCACCAAACTTCCCATATCTGTCACCGATGGACTGGACGTCAAAATACACGTCTCCTGCAACAACCCAGAACCGTACACAAACATGAGCTCAGACACTTTGGATTTTATCAGAGGGATCAAACGTCTGATTTACCTTCATTAGTGGCGTAGGCGTGTCCATTTCTAATTATCTTCTCAATGAACGCAACAATATGGGGCACGTTGTCAGTGACTCTAAGGTACACCGCAGGTGGAATCACCTTAACAACAAGCTCTGGTTATAAAAGATCTACTTATCTTAGATGTGTTTTGTCACGCATCTATGAAACCCAACCTTTAAAGACAGCATGTCCTTCTTGAACTCCTCTTCGTACATTCTGGAGATAACGGACGCAGAAACGTTTTCCTGTCAAACAGAAACAAATCACCTGAGCCTTCGTCATCATCAACAGTCATTTAAACACATGCTTGTGTTCTTTACCTCCCAGCTCCTTCGGATGATTTTGTCATCGATGTCAGTGATGACCATGGCGTGGATCACGGTGACCCCAAACAGCCTGGACAGAATCCTCTGCAGGATGTCAAACCTGACATATGAACTGGAACAGCAAAGGTCTGGTGTCAGGTTTAAAATCAGCTGTTTGTTTATGTTGTTGTGTTCATAATTACCATGCATGACCCAGGTGAGCGTGGTCGTACACGGTGGGTCCACAGCTGTACCTGAGAGAGAACACAGGTGGTTGTGTTGTGCGTGGCTCGTGAAGGCTGGTAAAGGTGTGTTAGTGGATGGTCCCCTACCAGGTAGCTGTTCCTTCTCTAGCCAGGATGAGCGGCTCCTTTTGCTTGGTGAGGCTGTTGAAAGTTTTTAGACCAGTGTCAAACCCGCTGGGTCTCACCCAGGTCTTCCCAGACCCACTGCAGCCAGACCTAATCGTGGTCCGGTAAAGGTTGAGAACCCCAGAGGGTGCACACTTTACGTTCCTTGTCACCGTACCCCACATGGCTCTTCAGGAGAAAGGCGCATGCGCACTGGTCTGACTCAACCTTTTGAAAAGAAGATGCGAATTATAAAATTATACATATTATTTCTTTAACTTTCATTACCAGCTAAGCTAAATGGAAAGTAGCTAGCGCGTTGACGCTTTGCAGCACTGATTAGCATATACGTCATCACGTCGAAATGTCCTGCGTCCTTAGTCTTTGACTAGTTTTATTTCTCCGTTTGTGCTGACTAGTTATTTGTGTTACTTAAGCCGAATTAGCGGTAAACCTAATGTCACCCGTTTGTTTCTTTCAATTCTAATGAAAGTAGGCGAAATTTTCAAATATTGTAACTGAATCGAGGTTAATCAAAAATACTTGTTACTCAATGTACAGCATTTCGATCATTTTACGTTGCTGAAGTAAAATCTTGATTTTCTATGCACATAATTATCTCGAAGCACGGAATTTCTATGAGATGATGAAGAAAACACGTGTGTTACACATTCGGCTATATTTAGATGCACGATGCTTGTTGTGAAGAAAAGTTGTGGAGGAAAAAGTAAAAAAAAAGAAGCAGAGTGCGGTTGACCTCACTCTTCATCTCTGCAGTTCTCGCGAGAACACAATCCCGGAAGTAGTAATGTGAATCACATGATCGATCTTCCTTGCTGGCACTCAGCTTGGATAGCTATGTCAAAATAACTGTTTTGTTTGTGTTGCTGATGCGGTCTTCATCTAGGTTGACATTCACAAAGAACTTCCACCATGCAAAACATGATAAACACCGTGAAGGGGACAGCCCTGGGAGTGGCGGAGTTTCTGACTCCAGTGTTGAAGGTAAACTTGTTTCTGTGCTAGCGCAGGTAGCTGCTGGGATCACATTCAGCAGTGCTGCGTACGGTTAGCATGTATCTCTCAGGCTTTCCCCTTCACTAAATCCTAGTTTAAACTGAACATTAATAAAATATTAGATTAGTAGTCCAGCAGTAGGTTGTCAGTACTTAAATTTTAAGCTGATTTTAAAGTTTCGCTGTCCTAAACTCCACAGGAGTCGAAATTCAAAGAGACTGGCGTCATTACACCAGAAGAGGTGAGAGCTTTCAGGTTCACTAATAAAGTCTGGACTTGTTTTTGTCCAGTTTTTAACACTTGTTGCTCTCTGTTGTTGTGTTTCAGTTTGTAGCAGCTGGAGATCACCTGGTTCATCATTGCCCCACGTGGAAGTGGTGAGTCCTCACAGCTGGACCACATCTGTGATGACATTAACCTGACTGTTGATTGGTACTTTACAGTCAGTCAAAACAGATCAGAGTTCCCATGGAGATTAAGGAAAGCCAAGATGTTTTGGATTTGATGTCAGATGTTTCTTTCTCTGTTCTGCGTGTTAATAATGCGAAGTCAAACACAAAGTTGCTACATTCATGAACTCTTTAACACATTCCAGGTTGGTTGATGTTGACTCTAGTGTACTTAGTTTTGCATGGATGTCCTCACATCACATTTTCACTATTAGTTCTAAACGGTGTCTTAACAATAGTTACTGGGAGTGTGATGTTTCACCCCAGCCGCGGTTTGGTACATTCCTTCATCTGAGGACTCCCCTTTAGCACAGGGTTTGATCAGAGGGCCACGGACCTCTGACTCTTGATATTTGATGAAGGTGATAAAATGCTGATTTAGTTATAGCCTTAATTTGTCCACAGAAGCTCAGGTCGGAGTCAATGATAACACCTAGATGTCTAATCTGGGTCTTTGTCTTTATTCCTGTGGAGTCTAGCTGAGCAGTAACATCCATTCTAACCTTCTTGTTGCCAAAGACAATAACTTCAGTCCTGTCTTTGTTTAGTTGAAAGACGTTTGACTGCATCCAGTCGTTGGTGTTTAAAGTATATATTTCTGTTTATGCGTTTGTCCCATTCAGTTAAACTGACACTGAATCGTTTAATCTGTTATTTTAATTCATTATTTTTTATCTGTTGTTCATAGATGAGGTACGATTGTAGATCAGGGGTGTGCAAAGTGCGGCTGTGGGCCGTTTGTGGTTTTATTCTGATCCTGGACGCACTTTTATTTGACACGCCAAAGAACTAGAAATCCTCACATCCGGATCATTTCCTCGTTACACTGTTAAGGTTTACTTTTCTACTGAACACTACATGCTTCTGTCTTTTTAGCTAATATTGTTTTATTTAATTGTTGAGCCGGTAGAAATAAAAGCAGGATTCAATTGATTTTATTTGAATTAAAACACTGAGGCAGACCAAACATCGCCATCTGCTAGAGTTGTTGAAAAGACGAGCTACATTACAAGAGCCACCATGTTGTTCTCAGAAAGCCCCCCCCCCCCCCCCCCCTCCCAACACACACACACACACACACAACTAATTACAATTAAGCTAGAAAAATGAAGTGTGTGTGTGTGTGCCTTTCTTTCTTTTAGGGCGACTGGAGAGGAAGTGAAGGTGAAGCCCTATTTGCCGCAGGACAAACAATTTCTGTTGACGCGTAATGGTGAGAGTTTGGTGTAAACCGTTCTGGTTCAGAGAGCCATCTGAGCAGGTGTTCACCGGACACGTTATTAATAACCTCTGCGCAGGTCTGGGTTGGATCCACGTCTAATTATAGTCTCCTAAACCCCAAAACAGGAATTCTACAGCTGTGCAAAGCATCCTAATGAAAATAGTCATTTTGTTTGAATGAAAATAAAGTTGAAGGAATTTGACTAAATGACCTTAAACTCTTTAGCAGTATTTGATTAGTACATATTTTATTTGAATTTTGCTTAATTAGACCAAACTGAGCTTCATAATGAATCATTTTATGACCCTTTAGATTCTGAAGCATGTCCCTAGTGTCCACTGCCCAAAATTAGCAGTAAAAACATTACATACTCATTATTTCTACCAGGCCTGGGGATGGACTGTCCGATCTCGGTGGCAGAAGTTGCTGAGGTAGTCAAACAACTACACAGCGGCGGAGCCCCGGGGGCGGATGAGGTTCGTCCTGGGTATCTCAAGGCTATGGATGTTGTAGGGCTGTCATGGTTGACACGTCTCTACAACATTGCGTGGTCATCGGGGGCAGTTCCTAGGGAGTGGCAGACCGGGGTGGTGGTCCCCATCTTTAAGAAGGGTGACCTGAGGGTGTGTTCCAACTATAGGGGGATCACACTCCTCAGCCTCCCTGGAAAGGTCTACTCCAAGGTACTGGAGAGGAGGGTCTGATCGATAGTTGAATCTCAGATAGAGGAGGAGCAATGTGGTTTTCGTCCTGGCCGTGGAACTGTGGACCAGCTCTATACCCTTGCAAGGGTGATGGAGGGGGCATGGGAGTTTGCCCAACCAATCTACATGTGCTTTGTGGATTTGGAGAAGGCTTATGACCGTGTCCCCAGGGGCACCCTGTGGGGGACGCTCCAGGAGTATGGGGTGGGTGGCTTTCTGTTAAGGGCCATTCAGTCCCTTTACCAGAGGAGCATGAGTTTGGTCCGCATAGCCGGTAGTAAGTCGGACCTGTTCCCAGTGAGGGTTGGACTCCGCCAGGGCTGCCCTTTGTCACCGGTTCTGTTCATCACTTTTATGGACAGAATTTCTAGACGCAGCCGTGGTGTGGAGTGTGTCGAGTTTGGTGGCAGGAGAATCTCGTCTCTGCTTTTTGCGGATGATGTGTTCCTCCTAGCTTCATCCAGCTCTGACCTTCAGCTCTTGCTGGGTAGGTTCGCGGCCGAATGTGAAGCGGCTGGGATGAGGATCAGCACCTCCAAATCTGAGACCATGGTTCTCGACCGGAAAAGGGTGGCTTGCCACCTCCGGGTCGGGGGAGAGGTCCTACCTTAAGTGGAGGAGTTTAAGTATCTCGGGGTCTTGTTCACGAGTGAGGGTAGGAGGGATCCGGAGATGGACAGGCGGATTGGTTCGGCATCTGCAGTGATGCGGACGCTGAGCCGATCTGTCGTGGTGAAGAGGGAGCTGAGCCAGAAAGCCAGGCTCTCGATTTACCGGTCGATCTACGTCCCAATCCTCACCTATGGTCATGAGCTTTGGGTAATGACCGAAAGAACAAGATCTTGGATACAAGCGGCCGAAATGAGTTTCCTCCGTAGGGTGGCCGGGCTCAGCCTTAGAGATAGGGTGAGGAGCTCGGACATTCGGGAGGGACTCGGAGTAGAACCGCTGCTCCTCCGGATCGAAAGGAGCCAGTTGAGGTGGTTTGGGCATCTGGTCAGGATGCCTCCTGGACGCCTCCCCGGGGAGGTGTTTCGGGCATGTCCTGCCGGCAGAAGGCCCCCGGGTCGACCCAGGACACGTTGGAGAGGTTACATCTCCAATCTGGTCCGGGAACGCCTTGGGGTCCTGCCGGAGGAGCTGGTGGAGGTGGCCGGGGAGAGGACGGCCTGGAGCTCCCTAATTGGGATGCTGCCCCCGCGACCCGGACCCGGATAAGCGGAGGAAGACGAAGACGAAGATTATTTCTACCATGTCTGTGTCCGTGTTTTAAATATATTTTAATTTGAAATATTGAAATATTTCAAAAGCTCGTTTATATCCCTTTCAAAACCCATATTCAGCAGGTTTTTATTCAGCTATACACTAAAAGGCTTCCATATAATACATTTCAAAATGTATTTTACTTCTATTATTAATACTAATATTAATAGTAATGTACTAGTGATGCTATCGTGCTCTGAGGTGGGCCAATAACTAGCAGAAATGATGATTTTGATGCATGATTATTTTCTGTAGTTTGATTAAAAATCAAAGTTGATACTTCAAGGTGAAAACGATCTTCCATAAATCTGTTGTTCAGTGTTTTATAATAATAAATTTGATCCTGTTTCTTACCTGTTAAACGGGTTATTTTGGCATCTTTGGTACGTTCTTTCTGTGTTTGGTTTCTAATTCCATTTTTGGTTGATTTTAAAACACAGGAAAGGTTTTTCTTTACCTTGCTAACAGTTTTGTTTGCGTCTGCAAACATCCTCAGAGCCGACGCTGATGGTGGCGTCACTTCCGCCACCATCAGCGTCGGGTAGTCCTGATCCACGACTACCTGGGTTATTTTGGTATTTGGTCTTGTGTGTTTCTATGACGACCCATCTCTGGGCTCATCCGGCTTTGTTTCTATGCTGCTGCAGTTCCTTGTTACAAACGCTGTAAACAGATGGAGTATTCGGACGAGCTGGAGGCCATCATAGAAGAGGACGATGGAGACGGGGGCTGGGTGGACACGTACCACAATGCAGGTGAGATCGTCCTGATCCAAGACTGCTTCAGCTCACAGCTGCTTTGTTAAAGCACTTGACGTCAAATGAAACTGTGACCTTTAACCTTCTAGCTCATCTCTGCTCTCATCACACTCCTCGTGTGATTCCATTTCTGAGTTTACTCTGAAGCTCATGTCCCAGATCTCAGTTCTTCTGTAAACCATGTGTTTGATGTGATGGGCCTGCAGCAGACCTCTGACCTCTCAGCTCGCTGTAACGCTGGTCCAAGTCACACGCGGTTCCTACCACAAAGCTAACACTTCATTTAAGCTAAAATATTATTGTTTCTGTTTTGCTTTGTCATTGTCCATGGTTTAATGGGAAATATGTAACATTTTCACATTTTTATTAAAAACTAAAAAAAAATCCAATGCAGGTAGATGATTAGTTGGTGTGATTGTGTGTCAGCAGGTGTGTTAGGAGTCACAGATGCTGTCCAAGACATTTCTCTGGACAATAACAAGGTAAGATTCTGATATTTCCTTATTAATGAGAGTAAACGTAAAGCAACACTGGAGAACGTTTCCAGTTTCTCCCACCTGCTGGTTGAAAGCAGCATTACAAATGTTGTAGGCAACCATGCAGCAGCCAGCATAGCTAGCGCTAACAACGAGCTGACGCTAACATGCATCAACTGATACTAAATAAGCCATGAAGTAAAAACGATTCACACTGTTGGGACATAAAATCTGTTATTAAGTACATGTCCAGTAGCAACAAAGCCAGGCCACCATCAGTCTGTTATTGTGTAGCCTCCTTCAGCTCGCTCAAACAAATGTTCTCTTAGGTTTTCTCTCTTTGCTTTGCCTCCAAAGACATTAGTCTCCTACCTCCACTTCTAGGCTCTGCCATTATGCCAACAAAAAAGCTAAATTCTTTGTTCTTTTTATTTATGGTCAGCGAACTGAAGAAGCTAACTGCTAGCTTTTATATTAGCTAATGATAAAGAATGATAATGATAAATGACCTACACTTGTTGCACCTTTAAGAGTCAGAGGACTTCGAAATGCTTTATACTACAGTCTATCATTCACCCATTCACACACTGGTGGTGATGAGCTACGATGTAGCTACATCTGCCCTGGAGCACACTGGCGGGGGGGCTGGTGCCTATCTCCAGCGGTCAATGGGCAATCAGGCGGGGTACACCCTGGACAGAGAGCAGGGCATTGTTACCAGTAGAAATGAAATGTTATTAGCATTTCCAGTAGCTTACCACTGAACATGTTAATGAAATAAATCAATTCTATTGATTATATGTGAATATTTACATATGTTATTTTGACTAGGATGAGGTAATACAAACCTGAAATGTAAGTCAAATTGTGTTCCATTAAATATATTATAAATATCAGCTGGGAAAGAGGGAGCTAGACAACACAGATTTAATCTATATTATTGAGCCTTTTATAATTTTGCTGTTCAGTTTTCATAATTTTAGCAGCAAACCAAAGTCCTGTTTCATGTGAAACGTCGTCAAATAGAAAACTCAATGAATCAATGTAGGATTCGGTAGAATACTTGAATACTAAAATATTCGATAGCTGCAGCCCTAGTCCTGCGTCAGATGATCCTGCTGCTGGTTGTCCTTCACACAGCAGCTGCATGAGGTTTACCCAGTTTATTCTGGATGTTTTCAGGACAAGAACATGAACGCCACATCTGCGGCGGCATGTTGTGATGACGAGGATGAAGATGAGGATGAAGATGGAGAAGCAGCAGATATGGAAGGTATTTCGGTCTGAGTGGTAATAAGAGATGCCCCTGCTTGTGTAGAGCTCATCCTGTGATTCTGCTGATTCACCAGAATACGAAGAGAGCGGCTTGTTGGAAACAGACGAGGTACAATCAGAGAGCCGCTGCTCGTCTCGTCCTTACCTTGTCTGTCAGCAGCTGAACCCCTGACCCTTTTGTATGTGCGTGTGTGTGTGTGTGTGTGTGTGTGTAGGCCACCCTGGACACCAGTCAAATGGTGGAAACCAAAACCAAACCAGAAGCTGGGTGTGAGGACGCCATCCTTCAGACGCGGACATACGACCTTTACATCACCTATGATAAATACTACCAGACTCCTCGACTCTGGCTCTTTGGTTACGATGAAGTAAGAACACGGCTGGCAAACATGTTGCATCGCATTATGAGTAAACATTTAAAGTAAGGGTGGGCAACTCTGGAGCACATTTTAGTTGTCTCCCTGCTCCAACAACGCTGATTTAGTGCCCGGATCACCTGTTCGGCAGCTCATTACGCTCATCAGAAACTTGTTAATCACTTGAGATTAAATCCAGCTGTGTCAGAGCAGAGAAACAACTAAAACGTGCTGGATGGGTCCAGGATTGCCCACCTGCAACTCTGGACAGCTGTCTTTATGTCCTCGTCAGGCTCTTGTCATCAGAGCAGACAGAACCTCTTTAGTTTAGAGATGTCGTCCCCGTATGTTTGACAGGACCGGCAGCCATTGACTGTTGAACAGATGTATGAGGACATCAGCCAGGACCACGTGAAGAAAACGGTCACCATTGAGAACCACCCCCACCTTCCTCCACCAGCCATGTGCTCCGTACATCCCTGCAGGTGCGAGACGTTGGTTCCTCCTGTTGCCCTCCTGTTGGAGGGAGACGTGTCCCCGTTAAGGGGTCATTAAATGGTCGTGGGCCTCACGTTAGAAATGTTTAACTGATTCTGATTTTTGTTTTCAGACATGCTGAAGTGATGAAAAAGATAATTGAGACAGTGGCAGAAGGAGGAGGAGAGCTGGGAGTGCATATGTATCCTTACCATGAGAAATGGCTTATGAAACCTGTAGAAGCTGTTTGTAGACTCTTCCAGCAATTTGTGTTCATAAATCCTGCGTTAAAGGTTGTGTGGAATTCCTGACGGCTTTCCCACCAAGCAAGAAAATCCCATAAACCTGGCTCACTAACAATACCGGCTCAGTTTTCCCAAATCTGGTTCTACGAACGAGACAAAGCTGAAGCCCCGCTCGCTCGCTCGGTCACCATGCTGACGCATGCTTGTGTTCAAGCCTTCAGTTTTCCTTTTTAAGACAAATGTTTTGCTCGTTTTAACCCCCAGAGACCCACGGTTGTAATATTACAACATCAGATTTAAGTCTACAAAAATAAACCTTCCCCATTTTTTTTTCTTTTTAAAACCACATTTACATTGCTAATAGGTCCTATTGTTCAGTTCTGCAACACTATTGGCTGTTAAAATGTGTAAATAGGCCTGTTTATCAGGCCTCCTAGAACAACATGTGAAAGGTTAAAAAAAGATTTTGCAGTTGTTTTCTAAATTTGGGTTTCTGGGGGTTAAAGGTGTGTATCATACCTGCTGACAGTTTCTAAATAACGGAGCCAACATCATAACAGAGGAGAAAGACAGACAGGAGGAAGAACGACACACAAAGCAGGCACTCAGTTCATGTCAGTATCCGAGGTGGGCCATAAATAAAGGGAAAGAACAGGTCAAACAGAAGCAGAGAAAAGAAAAACAACATACCATGCCATATATCCGGGGGTAACCGGACCAATACAACGTATAACGAGGAAGCACCGAATCAGTGTAGCAGTAAAACCCTCTGTCATCTACTTGTCCATCCAATGGACAAGACAGAACCAGATTAAAAAATGCAACATCGTATATTAAATGCCATGCAAACCATGCGAAAATACATACATAGGGAAAACAGGAAGGGCCTACAGCACACAAAAGAAAGAACATCTAACAGAGTGTGCGAGAGAAACAAGGGGACGTTTCACCAGAACACAGCTGAACAGGAGACCGGGAAATCAGCCATAACAGATCACTGCAGCAGGTCGAACCACATCATGGACTGGGACAATGGAATAGTCATCACATCCGAAAACAACTGCTTCAAACAATGGTTTAAGGAGTCCATCGAGATCCGGAGGTGAGGCAGCGACACCATCAACCAGGATGAGGGGGCGTTCACCCTATCACACACCTGGGACTCCATTCTCCAGAACTAGCAAGAGAGGTTCGGCTGGTCTGGGGGCGTGGTTCTACAACGCCCCCAGACCAGCTGATAAATGACTCAACGGCGAAAAGTCGGATGACGCTCTGAGGAAGACTGAAGCCTTCAGTCGAAATTGTCAGCAGGTATGAAATAGGGCTGGGCAATAAACCGAAATTTCTGACTCTTATCGGGATAATTTTTCTGATGTCAATGAATTTGATGATTAAAAAATGAAAATGTGTGTGTAGGTTGGCAACGTTCATGCCCCTTTAAAAATGTGACTCAACATAAAACATGTGACAGCTCCATCTAGTGGACAACTTTTGTTTCTGTGCATACCTGTAGTTGTCGTCCATTTATGGTTATCAAAGTGAAATCCTCAATAAATCGTGATCTTGATTTTATAGTTTAGGCCATGTCGCCCAGCCCTAGTATGAGATAAACATCTTTAAAACCCGCAAAACATTTGTCTTAAGAAAATAAAATTGAGCTAAGAGAAGAGTGATGGCGTTTAGACATCTCTTAGCAGAACTCTGATGTTTGCTGTCTTCCTACGCTGGGATCACGTTTCCTTGACTGAGACCTGCAGGTATCTTCTGATTTTCCTGAAGTTTGTGCAAGCCGTCATTCCAACAATAGAATATGATTACACAAGACACTTCACCATGTAGCTCCGTGGGCCAACCTGTGCTTCATCTGATGCAGCATCAGATGACGGGAGGGGTCGGAGAACAGCTGATTGGTGTTGTTATGATGATTTCTGGATTTTGGGTTGGGACCCATGAAAGGATCATGTTCGTTTTTCTGAAGAACCCAGAGGGCCACAATGAAGAAGTTCAGCGTCGTAGATCTGGTTATCACACCGGAAGATGGCGTCTTTCAGCTTCTCTCTTTGAACTCAATTTAAATATGCAAATCAGGTTCCAAAAGTTAATGCAAAACTGAAATCTAGTTGTTCTAAGTACCACAGTCCAGAGCTGAATGTGAGGCTCCGCACATCCGAACACGCTTCCCTTCAGTTCAGGAGTTGCTCTTCATAGTCTCTTCCAGCCGTCGTTTTCGGAACGTGTTTTAAATAGATTGCGTCGTTGCCCCACGCTGTGTGCTCCCAGTGGCTTGCTCGATCTGTGGCGTCTGAACATGGAGGTGTGTTTGTATTTGTTCCAGCTCACTGCAACCCTGCAGCTTTAAGCTACAATTACCTTGGTTTTGTAAGATTTGCTGCTGTTGCTTTTCCATTTAAATAAACTACAACATGTAAGAGGAGAGTCCTTCCCCTGTCGCTTTGTTTGTAGGAAGATTTCCACTGAGTTCCATGAATGCAAAAAAATGACTTTCTGACTCAGTCTGCAGGAGAATCATACGTTTTTAATGGATGCGGTAAGAACACCTTTCATCGGAGATGTATGCTTGAGTTGCGTGATCTGGATAATTTTACTGACATGACACTGAACGTAGAAATAAGGTCAGTCAGGTCTGTCTCAGTCAAGTTTGTAATGAATCACTTAATATAAAAAACCGTTTGCTTCAGAAAATGCCCTGCATTCAGGGATCAATAACAATCAAACGCTGAAATAATAAACTTTCACCCCATATTTTAAAACATTAGTTTTACATTAGTCTTTTCTACGGCCCACTGAAAATGAGCATCCATGTCCTCACCCACCTTGGCTTGTGACAACCACAGAGCACTGTGTTGCTTTTGCAGCTAGGAGGAGTAAAGTGTCTCTCTGCTAGTAGAAGTTAACCATTAGCTTCTACTAGCGACTCCATAATATAGCAGAACACATTCGGACTTGTGTTACTTGTGCAGATAAAAACATTGGTGTTGCATTTTATTAACTCAAGAAACACATGAAAAGGCAGCGGAAGAGTAGCATTGCTGTTAGCCAATCAGAGATGAGATGTTTGCATATAATGAATTTAACGAGTAAGACTCTAAATCTCGTCGTTCCACCCCAGACACATGCTCTCCATCTACTAACTTCTACTCCCTGTGACAAATATACAAAAAAGCCCAAATACATTGGGAAAAGAAACAGTGTTGACAGAAAAGTGTATCATATTCACGATTCAGGTAAAAACAATTATTGACTAATTAAAAGGCAAGTCGGTGTAAACTGTATAATAAAAAGTACTATAAGAATCTGCTCAAAGAGGAAACGTGGGTCCTCCTCGCCAAGGGCTCACCACTCGTAGGAGGGGCCAATGGGGTTGGGTGCATTGTGTTGTGGGTGGTAGCCAAAGGCGGGGAACTTGGCTGTCTGATCCTCGACTGCAGAAGCTAGCTTTTGGTGCGTGGAATGTCACCTGTCTGGTGGGGAAAGACCCTGAGTCGTGTTGAGGTTTAGAGGTTCTAGCTATATATTATCGGACTAACTCTGGCTCTGTCTGAAACCAATATCCTTGAGAGAGGTTGAACTTTCTACCATGCTGGAGTTAACCCAACTGAAAGGCGTTGAGCAAAGGTGGGCATACTCGTTGCCTCCCATCATGGTGCCTAAATATTTGAGATTACTCTGGTGAGAGGTTAGCCTTTCTCCTATGTGTGGGGGATGGGTCCTGACTGTGGTTTGTACTTACAGTTTTTCTCAGTTGCTTTGGTACATTTCTCACAACAGAATTAAACGTTACACAACAGTTAGTTCAAACTCCACAACATGTAGTCGTTTTGGCACAACCTAGTGGCGGTTTCATGTTCATTTCGTCCAAAGGCAAATGCTTCAATAGGTTAAGTTCAGGAACAAACCCAGCATCCTCCTCGCCTGTCCCCAGCTAACCAGACATCCCATCCTCCTCTGATCCAACATTTTCCTGTCACACGCCAGCTCTTTTGTCCTCTAACGCGGTCATGGACTCTTCTGGTTCTATAAATCTGTCTTCAACCAAGTCAGGAGATGCTGCTGCCCCATTTACCTCCCCCTCCCACCTATCGGTCTCTAGAAGTCAGGTGAAGAGGCAGCTGGAGAGACTGAACAGGAACAAGGCTGCAGGTCCAGATGGTGTCAGCCCCAGAGTACTGAAGGCCTGTGCAGAGCAGCTCTGTGGGATTCTGCAGCACCTCTTCAACCTCAGCCTGGCCCAGGAGAAGGTTTCAGTCCTGTGGAAGACGTCCTGCTTTGTTCCAGTTCCAAAGAAAACTCGCCCATCAGTCAGTGACACTACAGACCGGTTGCCCTGACATCCCACATCATGAAGGTCCTGGAGAGACTCCTGTTGGTCCACCTGAATAAGCAATCTAGGACATATCAGGACCCGCTGCAGTTTGCTTATCGCCATGGAGTGTGAGTTGAAGATGCCATCATCCAGCTGCTTCAACCAACCCAATGTCATCTGGAAAAAGCAGGCAGCACTGTGAGGTTCATGTTCTTTGATTTCTCCAGTGCATTTAACACAATCCAGCCTGATGTACTTTGCCAGAAACTCCAGAAGACACAAGTGGGGGCCTCAACTATCGCCTGGATTAAAGTCTACCTGACAAACAGACCAGTTTGTGAGGCTGAAGGACTGCACATCAAACCAGGTGATCCATGACATTGGAGTACCACAGGGGACTGTACTCTCACCATTCCTTTTCACCCTGTACACCTCAGACTTCCAGTACAAATCAGAGACCTGTCATCTACAGAAATACTCAGATGACTCTGCAGTTGTTGGGTGTATCAGAGATGGACAGGAAGCTGAGTACAGAGAGCTGGTGGAGCGCTTTGTGGCATGGTGTGGAAACAATCATCTGACCTTGAATGTGAACAAAACAAAGGAGATGATTTTAGACTTCAGAAGAAACAGGGTGGAGTCAAACACTGTTTCCATCATGGGAGAAGAAGTGGAGGTGGTTGAGGAATACAAATACCTTGGAGTTCACCTGGACAACAGACTGGACTGGAGAAAGAACAGCGAAGCCGTTTACAAGAAGGGACACAGCAGACTGCACTTCTTGACGACGCTTAGGTCCTTCAATGTCTGTAGCAAGATGCTGCAGATCGTCTACAAGTCTGTTGTTGAGAGTGTAATCTCTTTAGCCATCGTCTGTTGGGGTAGCAGCATCAGAAGCAGGGACCTGAAAAGGCTCAACAGCCTAATAAAAAAGGCTGGTTCTGTTCTGGGGACGACTGTGGAACCACTGGAGGAGATAATGCAAAGAAGGATTCTCCAGAGAATCAAGAAAATTATGGACAACCCTGAGCATTCTCTTCACAAGACTGTCCGACAACGGAAGAGTGTCTTCAGTCAGAGGCTTCTTCAGTTTCGCTGCAACACTGACCGCTACTGGAGATCCTTCCTGCCAACAGCCATTGTAATATACAATAACTCTTTGAAGACTTGATTATTATTATTATTCTGAGCTACTACAGCCATCAATTTCCCTCTGGGATTAATAAAGTATTTTTGAATTGAGAATGCACCATGTACGTTACGAAAAAAGTCACTTTAAATATTAAACCGAAAAAGAGGCCAGCTGAAGAACGACAGCCAATGAAAATGCAGCATTCCTTGCTGCAGGATGCTGATGTTGAGCCGCAACAAAACCATCACTTATCTTCCTTCCTGATCTGTTCAAACAGCACAAAATAAAAGCTGTTGTTCAAACATTGTGATAAATAAGTGGAAGTGTTTTGTAAATGATTTTCAAATCCCATTTCATTAATCATTTTACTAGTAATTATTTTAGTGTAACTTATACGTGTACAGTATACTATATATTAAATACTACCAAGTAAACTAAAATGTAATCATATATGAACCATCACATTTGTTATTCTTCTGCTTTATGCTATTAAACTTTGAATTTTATTTGTTCATATTTATGACAACAGAAAATGTTCTCACAAAAATATTTTATTGCCAAAGCTTTTCACTTAAATGCAGCATTCACAGTGAGTATTGGTTACTTTCACAACTGCAAGGTTTGTTTGTGTTGCTCCAGACAAACTGAACCAGCAGATGTTGATATGTACAAGTAGCTGCTGTTAGCAACAAGTTAAACAACATTATGTTGCAATTAACTATAGAATAATTTGTTTTTTATTTAACATGAACAAGTTGAAACCAATATTTCAAATATCTATTTATGATGGTATTTTAACAGAAAAACAATTTACATTATATACAAAACAATGTTCCAGTGACAAACCAAAATAAACAGAAGTACAGATGTTAAACTTACACTTGCAAATTTACACCTGATCAGTAACCTAGAGGATTAAAAACAATGAAACAATCCTCTGAGGATTTACAGCATTTTCTATTTACATAAATACACTATAATGAACTAAACAAACCCAAGTTGTTCATTTGTTTTTTTCCTCCACCCATCTTTGTTTTTCTCGTAGAAAGGAGACTTGCTAAACTCCTTCCAGCTCATCTCTTTGACCATTCCCTGGCTTTGGTAAAGAGCGAACACCTGCCACTCCGGGGAATCCTGTGTGGATGTGTGGGCTGTTGGGTCCAAGGACGTAATTTTCACTTTAGAAGTGGGGGGGACACGGGGGGGGGGGGGATCTTGACAGTATGCTCTGATGGGAAACTGGCTTCAACACAAACGGTTGTTTTCCGCTTGGTCCTAGAGCTCAACCAGTGTCAATTTAATATAGCGTAATATTGTTTTTGGATGGTAAAAATTGCAGGGGTCAAAACTTGACTTTGGAAAAAGTGGGGGGGACATGTCCCCCCTGTCCCCCCCAAAAATTACGTCCATGGTTGGGTCCCTGTTTCAGCTCCATGTGACAGAACCTACAGAGACGGCCTGCTGGTGCCGATTCTGTCCTTTGCCTTTTCTTTTCAGTCTCCTTCTGCACTCGCGTCTTGGTTGCGTCCAGTTCCCTCTGAAAAAAGTCAGTGGTTGAAAAGTCTTCAAAGGACATTTTAGGGTTGAGAGTCCTTCAGCAGCATAGCTCTGGTGCACCTTCTGTGAGCAGTAAAAATACCGCACAGGCACCTGTTGATAGAAAAACTGGATCGAGGATCCATCAGTTTCATATCGAGACTTTGGATGTCCGCAGGAAAGACAGGTCTTTGTCTTTTCTTTTGCCCTGGCGGGAGCTGCCGCTGCTGTTTGCTCAAAATGCCCTCTACGATTTTTTCCAGAGAGTGTTGAGTCAGAGGTAGGGTTGTCACGGTAACCGGTATAGCGGTAAACCCCGGTAAAAAAGTTGACAATAAAAATAACCGTCCAGTTTTTAAAAAACTAAATTATCTCGGTGGGTTTACCGTGGCCGCGGTTTCGGCGCGATGACCCTTACCAGCCACTGTCGCTTCAGCTGAAG